AACAAGATTTAATCCTTGTGGTGTGTCCATCCTGATATATTCTTAAGAGTGAGAGTGTTTTTAGGAAGTCAAATCTGATTGCCCAGATGGGAATTTATTTAAAATAACCACCTGCGTCCTTTTCTCCTCAACTGGATTTTAAAAGGATCTTGAATCCCCACCGAGAATCAAAGTCTCTTTCCTTCCTTCCTTCCTTTTCTCTCTCTTTGTCTTATAAACTCAAATTTTTAATTTTCCTAATCATTATTATACCTTAGAAGGAAAAAAATTTTAGATTTTGTTTTTCATACTTTAAGGGCTCTTGCTACCCTGGATTGTAAATTAAGTCCCTTTATAAACTGCATTAATACATTCAGGCCGTAAGGGGCAGATTTAATGCACTGATTTTATGAGCAGTGGCTAAAAGTTTTCGGAATCTTAAAGTTACCTGCAGCAGAGAACTAGTCAGCAGTTTAAACACTAGAACAGTCCAATTCAGTATCAAACAGGGAAGAGAATTCTGTTCAAAAGATTCACTTGTAAGATTTAAATTCCCTTGAAGCCAGGGATGGTGGTGCACACCTGTAGTTCCAGCACTTGGGAGGCTGAAACAGGAGGATCACCATGAGTGGGAGGCCAACTTGGGCTACATAGTGAGACTCTGTCTCAAAAAGACATCAATCAATCAATCAGTCCCCTTGGAGCAGTGGCCTGGAGGAAATCAGTGCAGTAGGTCTGCTTGGCACTGTCACTCACTCACTCTATCACCTAGGGTTAGGTGCCTCTTGTGTATACACCTCCCTATTTGGAAGACAGGAACAGTGGTCTTTCTCCAACATACTCAAGGCTTTTTAAAATATATATATATATAAAACATACTGTAAATAATGTTGATGGATTTATGAGATTTATCACGGTAGGTATTTCTCTCTTTGGGTATTTTAGTGTCATTCTGTCTCTGTCACTGTCACACACACACACACACACACACACACACACACACACGTACTTCCTCATTCTTGGCAGCTACCCTGAGAGATAAGCTACTCTGGGCTAATGAGACACTCAGGCTCTTCGAGGTCAAGCCCTAACCCAAGGCCACATGTCTGGTTAGTGGTCTGTCTGACCTCCCAGTGGCAGGCACAGCTGGGCCCGTGGTTGCCAGCTGTTGGCCTGGGCACCTTTCTCTACTATAAGAGGGTTTGGCACCCGGCCCTTGATAGCTATGAGGATCTAAGACAGAACTCCCTGCTTGTTGCATCAGGCTCTGAGTAGCTTCATTTTGGGTTCAGGTACCCTCCAGATTACCCCAGCACTAGCCAGGAATGCTAGTGCACACCTGTAATCCCAGCACTCGGGAGGCTGAGGCAGGAAGATCTCAAGTTCAAGGCCAGCCTGACTACATACTGAGACCCTGTCTCAAAAACAAAACACACACACACACACACACTCACACACACTCGATCACACACACAGAGGTTACCCCAGCATGCTCTAGAAATAGCATCATTACATGAGAAAGAATGGAAAGCTCCAAACTAGACCATGATTGCTTGATAACCTGCAAAAAGCCCTACAAAGCCATATTAATTATTGAAGATGACATTTAATCACTATGTTGGATTCATTCGTGTTGTTGATTTTTGTCCCTAGCTTGTGTTCATCTTTGTTTTTCCATGAGTTCATACAAAAGCATGTTTTCTCTCCAATGATGTTTGGCTTTCTATTGCCTAGGGGTGGTCAGTTGTTCTGTCATACCCAAGCCTCAATGGTACGATCCAGAATTGCCTTTCAGACTCTTGTGTGTCTAGTGGCTGGTTTGCCTAAGCTGTCCTTTGTTGTGGATTTTTCCATGCATGGAAAGAGTTGAAAGTAATCGTGTGGGATTTTAGGATGGAAGGATAGAGGCAAGCTGAGGACCCCCAGGGAAAGCATGTGTTTGTTATGGGTTTTCTGCTCTGTATAATGAAAAAATAACAACAGCACCAATAATAAATCCCAATAGGCAATGAACTTGTTAGTCTACTTACTCTGAAATCTGTGTCATGTCTGTCATTCATCTTCGGGCTCCGTCTAGATGCCTTACTTTTGAGCCAGAAGTGGCTTATTTAATTACCACTTGAAGAGTTTCCAGTGGTGCCATCTCAATGGTGTTAATTCCACTTGTTGAGGCTTATTGAAGGACGTGGTGGTCACGCCAGGTTCAATGTCCTTAAGCTGGTTGTATTTCATAACTAGTCTCAGTTCAGGTAGAAACTGGTCCCTTACCAAAAGCCAGTTTAATTCAGCTCTTTACTGGAAAGATAATGAATATCAGAAAAGCATTGAGCTATGAGAGGGAACTCTTAAAGTTACCAGGGTTTTATTATGCTGCAGCTCCTATCAGAGCTGTCGTTGCAGAACTGTGTATGAGTCAGTGATGCTGGGTACTGGTCTGTGGCTTGGTGCTGGCTGATGGGTGCCTAAGAACTGTCTATGGACCTTATAAAATACAGACCTGGTGAATATGAGCAGGGACTGGGAAAAGGTACCTTTCTCATGTGCACTCTAGTTTGGAAGCACAGACCTAAGACAGTCATATAATTTTGAGATACTGTTAAAGCAGTACATTAAAATAGCTTTTTTTCTAAGTCAAATTTTATAACTTCACATAATTTTCTGAATAGGATATCTCTTTATTTATGCTGATACAATACCACCTTCTGTGTTCCACCCTTCAGCCATTCCTTTGGCCAATATGTAAGAGCTGTCTAAAATGGGCTTCAGGAACTAAGGTAAAAAAAAAATCAAAAAAGAAATGGCTCTAAGATTAAAGGAGTCTTTGATTTAGCCAAGAGATAAACAATAAATCACGAAAAACATTTTCATTGTTCAAATTTAATTTCAGTGGGAGCCGGTGAAACTTGCTGGAAAGTTAGATAATGCATCCTAGGGGAGAAACCCTTTGGCTAGAAGCTTCACAAAAGAGAGAATGGTTGCTAGATGTCAAGTGAACATGGGAGAAGGTGAAGAGAACATTTTTTCAGTCTTGGTGGCCAGATAGCCTGATGTGTGACAAGAATATACATTTTATAATTTTATAACTATAAAATAGAAGGCAATACACGATAAGGATGTTGGTGAGCCTGTGACAGAGATCAGAATATGAAGGGCTTATGCAACGTGTGGTGGGAGTTTGTATTTGATTTCATTACTTCATCTTCCTTGCTATATATGTGGGGTTTTTCTAAACACCTCTTTAGTCTGTATCTTTTAAAAATCCTCTCCCCTGTCAATATGACGTGATGAAATTTCCTTTTTTCATGCAGTACCTTGGGAGCAGAAGCTAAGTGGTAATTTTCTATGTCTCCCATGGGGTCCTATGTCCACACCTCATTTTCTGCCCCTGTTCACCTACTTCCATTTCTGAAGCTGGAAGACGCCTGTCTGTGGAACTTCCTCCTCCCTAAAACCTGTATCCTCCTTGGAAGCTGTATTCTCCTATAGGGGCCAGGGAATAGTGTCAAAGGGACGGTGATGTTGGAGAGCTGCCCTTGACACCTCCATCCATCACACTTAATCCCAGTAGGCAGATAGTGTAAAGAATTTCTGCCTTGAGCACTGTCATCCAGAACTGCCTTTTCTACACAAGTCTTCACTCCTCAGCTTACAGTCCTTCTGCCTCTCGGTGTATTTTCATTCAGACTCAAACTCTTTGCCTCCCCAGTCTCATCTCTTGCTACTCTTCTTTGAACTCCCTCTACATTGACCTTTTTCAGATTTTCAAGGAAACTAAATGTATTTTTAATTCAGGGCCTTTGCATATGCTATTTCTTCTGCCCAAGAAGTGCCACATCTCCATCTTCATCTCAGTTGTTCTTGAAAAGACTTTTTACAGCCTCTATTTAAATAAAGCCTTACTCCTGTATTATGTGACACTTAATGCAATTTTGCATTGCTGTGTTTTGTTGACTTTCTCTTTTGCTAGACTTCTCCCTTAAATTTCGTAGAAGCAATGACTTAGTATGTCTTGTTCACAACTATGCTCTTCCTACCTGGTTGATGATAAAGATTAAATAATTATTTGCTTAATCAGTGAATGAGTGATAGATAAATGGATGAGCGGAAGGCTGGATAGATGGATGGGTGGGTGGATGGATAAACTGATGAAGTTGAAGTCTCTAAGTTGAATTCGTCACAAAATCTAGCCTTCTGTTCCTTTTCTTTTTTTCTTTTTCGTTTTAATTTTAATGTAAACCTAACATTCGTTATTCACGCCATAGTTCCACTCAGCCAGGCTCCTCTGTGGCCTAACAATACTGTATCCATCCAGTCAAAAGCTCATCCCTCAGTCTAAGCTCCATTCATGTGATGGGATCTGTGATCTGTAGAGCTGGCCGTGATTTATTCCTCTCCTGACTTATATAGAAAGCATGTATTTATTTTGCTAATAATAACCTTGAAGTATATTCTCATTGTTTCCTATTGAATCACATATCCAAATTTCATCTAAGTTACAATTTTTAAAAAGGCTTTATATCTCTCATGATTAAATCAGTAAAGAAATCTACTAAAAATGTGAGAATTTCTGAGTATAATGAACCAAATATAAATTCTGCATGATTTCTCCACCCTGAGGTGAATATTGTAGATACTTTGTCTTCTTTCCACCTAGTGCTTTTTCTTATACTTTCACAACTTTGTATACATATGTGCACACATATGTAGGTATGCTGAATTTTAAATATAACATGAAGTAGGCATGACTTCATGTTATTATAGGTACTTTTAAAAGCCTGTGACTATGATAGGTTGAAGAAACAGGAGGTGAAACTTCAGAATAATTTGAATTGGGAGCAAACAAAGACTGCAGCCCAAACAGACACACCCAGTTAAAATGTTGAGTACATAGAGCACACAGGTGACTTTATTAAGTGTGTTCCTGTTGGACCTCTAGAACAGTAAACTGGGAAAACCTTAGCAAACTACTATTCTCCAAAGTCCTGGTTCTGACAATGACTCATGTTTTCCTTCTTTTCTAGAGTGACCGTCTCCTTATCAAGGGAGGAAGAATCGTCAATGATGATCAGTCCTTCTATGCTGACATTTACATGGAAGATGGCTTAATAAAGTATGTATATACAGCCCTTCTTTTTACTTTTGTACTTGTTGTCTTCAGTGAAGGCCTGGAAAGAAGCTTTGATGGCAGGAATGAAGTGAAAAATCTGAATTCAGTCAACAATAATTCTGAGGGTCCCTGTGTGCAAGTTGCGTGGATGGGCATTCTGCAGGTCATGGAGAAGTAGAAGACATTACCACTGTCCTGATGGATACTGAGGAGTGTGTGAGAATTACACTGGCCTCAAAATACCAGGGCCTTTGTTGTAAGTGTCAAAGGACTTGAAATCAAGATAAGTGATTTAGAAGTGACAGAAAGAAACCTTTTACAGGAAAAGAGAGGCTATTTAAAACTTTTAGAACCTTGACAAAAGCATAAGACTGAGAACAGCAGGCACAGATACTACATGCATTTCAGATATGATTTTTAAATAGTTTCCTGAAGGATTCATATTGTATTTTCTTTATGATGAGGCTTGCTGTTAGATGCCTCTAGGAAGTAGGGCCAGTTAATTATGTGCAAGTCCCTTACATAGTGAACGTGATCATGTATGGCAAAGTATACCGCCACACTGATAAGACCAGAACATCCAGCCCATCTTCTTAACCACCTCTGACCTCACTCAGTTTTATTTTGCTATTGTTCAACTTCACTGGTTAGTTTAAGACTCCAGTTAGAAGGGCTCTCTTACTTATCTTTAAAAATTTGGGTCAGATATAATTTTCTATAGGCAGACATTCTCTACCTGTTCCCAAGTCCAAGCTCACTTCCCTTCTGTGTTCTCAAAACATCCTGTGCACTCATCAGGCGTAGCAATTCTGACACAGTTACATCAAGGACTGTATCTTGTCCATCCCCATATCCCAACACTTAGCCTGGTATGGATTAGCACTTACAGCCACCTTTCATTGTGTGCATAGTAGCGGTCAATCACTGTGTTAAAATGTTTCACTTGTCTTATTTCCTTCAATCTGCCAGCAACCCTATGAAGTATTGTTACCCTCTTTTCTCAGCGGAGCAGAAAAAGGCACATAGAATAAATAACTTGTGAAAGGTCAGAATATTAGTCAAATAGATTGAATAAGTGAGTGAGTGAATGAATGATTGATGAACAAATGCAAGAGTGAAGATACTCCATAGTTGCTCCACAAAGTTATATCATTACTTTTCCTTGTTAGAAGCAGGAGAAATGGAAATAATAGGCAAAAAGTATAATAATTAATTCATTGTACAAGCCACAATTGATTATATATTTTTTCTATTACTAAAATTATTATATATTGTTGGAAGTATGAGTTCCCTTGCTTAGAAGCTTGCAGAAGTATAATAAGTTGGTGCCTGATACTTCCTCATTTCACATCACATGAGAGTCAACACTGATTAATCACATAACTTTTTGCAGTTGAGCCTTAAATACAGGTTGAGAATCTTTCTTCATACTATGCTTCAGGGATCCCTTAGGAGGGTTAAATATGAAGATGAATCTTTTTTGCCAGGTTTATTAGAAAGAGTGGAAGGCTATTTGTCAAGGATGTTGTAGAAGAAATTTAATTATCAGTTGTTAGTTGTTTGTGCTGTATTGGAGAAAGGGGTGGGTGGATAAATTTGGGCTTCATCTAATTCAGAAATGCCGTGTATCTCCTACAACATCCTTAACTCACAGAGTATAAGAACAAAACTAATTTCCTCCAGTTGTTGCATAATTATATACCTCTCTGTGAATATTCATGGAGTAGTTTCTATGTGCGAGGCTCTGGACACTGCTATGTAGCATACTACAGTAGATGTTGTTGGGGCCCAATTCATCATGCTTTCTTTCCCCAGGGACCTTACAGTCTTTTAGGAGAACAGAGATGTCTGTATATGTGCAGAGGACCTAATATTATCAGCAAATAGCACCCATTAGTAGAACAGATGAAATTCAGAGGAGAGGGCTGATGATTAATTAGAGCAGCTGATGTTTATTGAACCCTAATGTCCCTAACATTATTCTTTGAGCTTAAAAGATAATAAATTTAACCTGTTCAACTCTGTGAAGGAGGCGTTTATTACATTTTACAGATGAAAGAATTGAGGCATGGTGAGGTTCAGTAACTTGGCCATGGTCGTATAGCTAATAGCTGGCAGACTCGGATCGTGATCCGGGCAGCCTGCGTCCAAGGACAGCCACTCTCTTTATTCTTATTAGACTTGCACGTCAATAGAAGCTTGATGAAGGAGAGGAAATGAAAGTTGAGCCTTCAGTATTTGAAAAAAGGGGAGGCATTTCTGCTTCAGACTTGATGTTAGCTAATTGTCAAAATGAGTGAAAACACCCAGGCAATCCTTCATGCACTTGGTTCTCAATTTCTCCCAGGGGAAAAATCAGCAAGGAAGAAAAATGGGAACAGAACAGGCCAGTGTCTGGACTAGAGTTATGACTAGAGGGTGCATTTTTCCACAGTGTGTTTTACATTGTGGTGGCCCTGGAATGGTCCCTTGGTGATGTGGTGAAGTTGAACTCTTAGAGATGTCAGAAATACTGCAGTTGCAGAACTCAGAGTTTGACAGGCCTGTGGTAGACATCTTACTACACCAAGAGAGAACAGTTCAGGCTGGCTGTGCACAGAAGGGGAAGTATTCTTGCCATTAGCAGTACGGTACCTGTGTACCCAATGTAGGAAATATTTAATGATAATGTAGCAGCTGTGGATCTTGTGTGTAGAAATCCACATGGACAGGTTTGAACAGATGTTTAAATCATGGATGCAAAAATCACATTAAACTAAGCAACACCGGATGGCATCATAAGTCACATTGTATAGGAAATAGTGCTGTTCACATTCCTTGGGGAGTGTACCTGTTGGCTTGCTTCCTCCTGAGTCTGCCCTGCTTCTCCCTAGGATGCTCAGGAGTTTCCTGGGCCAAGTTGTCTCTTAGGGAGGTTGTCATAATCTCCTTCCTTCGCTTGAAGCTTCTGCTGAGACCCTGACCTCACAAAAGCAGCTGGTGCCAGAGGCATCTACGTCTGTGACTCCTTCCTTATGAATCTCGTGTGAGCTGTGGTTGATGATAAATCATCAGGAAAGGTAGAGCTAGGAGTAAAGACTGAGGTAGAAGTAGACCTGGGCAGAGTTCTTTTCTTAGAAGCACAAATGGCCTGCTCAGAAATGACTACTAAGTTCTCATGTCTGTTCTTGCAGTGACTCCATATTTTCTTCTATCTCTTTTAACAGTCTATTATTTTATATTCTTTAGTACCCACATAGTACCATACAAATTATTTTGTGTCAATACAAACACAAGCTTCATAATCCCATATCAAGTCAATTTGTATCAATAAAAACACAAATATCTATCTTTGTTTTAAAATTGCTAGACTTGTGAGTCGCTTGAAGCCTATTTTGACAAGTGTATTAAAATGTTTGAAATTTTTATGATACTATATTTATTTTGACAATTGCTTTTTTAAATTACCAGTTGTCTTACTGTCTTTCCAGGCAAATTGGAGACAATCTGATTGTCCCTGGAGGAGTGAAGACCATTGAAGCCAATGGGAAGATGGTGATCCCAGGAGGCATTGATGTCCACACTCACTTCCAGATGCCATACAAGGGGATGACCACAGTAGATGACTTCTTCCAAGGAACAAAGGCTGCCTTAGCAGGTGGCACCACCATGATCAGTAAGACCTCAGATTTTACGTTCTTGAAGTCCAGAGGCGTGTGTTCTCAACAAACCTGCTAATTACAGTGTCCTCCATTGATCTCTTGTTCATGCCTCTCAAATTGCTTTATAGATTCTCTAGCTGATGGGACCTGAGAAAAGCAGGCTGTTCTGGGGAAATGGGCAGCTCACTGTAACTGCACAGAGGAGATTCTTGAAGTGAACAAGCATGAAAACAGCCGAGGAAATGAAAACTTTCAGAGAAAGATAACAAGAACTTATAGTTCTTGAGAAATTAGTGGGCTTCATTGGATTTAGTGCTGTTTGACCAATTTGTACCTTTGAGATTGGACAAACTGTGAGAGTGGTTTCTGTTTTTGTTTTGTTTTGTTTTATTGTTTTGATTTTGTTCAGTTTCGTTTCTGGTAAGTTTTCCAACTTACCAAAGAAACCTAAGGAGTTGCATGCCATTGGATTACTGAACCAATGGCATGCCAGGGCAGTCCTTCCTGTCTTAAAGGAATCTCAGTGAATTGGGTCCTGTCTCAGTGCTGAGCCCAAACGTGGTCAGCCAGAGTACTGTTTATTTATTTATTCATTTTTGGTACCGGAGATCGAACTCAGGTCCTTGCACCTGTGAGGCAGGCGGCGGAACCACTGAGCTAAATTCCTGGCCCTGTTTATTTTAATTAACATCGTATACATCCACCCACAAGCACAGAACACCCTGAGCTATGGAATAGCCCACTGTCTTGCACTCCTTTTGACAGGAGCACTGACAGGGCTCGGCTTCAGCTAGTTGGATGTGGAAGCTGTGGAAAATTGCATCAACACCATAAAAGGTGCAATCCAGAGAGACCAAAGCTTTTCTCCAGCTGAAGTGGGGAAGCCAGCTGACTTCTCAGCAACTGCCTGCCCATGAAAGCCCTAGTGTTGTTCCAGACATTAGTAATGTAGCTACAATCATTTGCTTTCCGATGAGTGCATTAAGGCTGCCTTTGCATTTGATCTTAGCCAAAAGGCCGAGAAGCGATGAGGCTGCCTTTGATGGAAGGCTGAGGAAAAGCATGATCTTGGCCTGGCTATCTGCAATGAAGGCAAGAAATTGGACCTGTTTGACATCCTTGGGATGCATATTATGCTTGGTCTTCTGCATTAGGGAAGGGATATGAGGAAAGTTAGAAATCCAGGTGATAAGAGTAAAGCATACTGGGAACCACAAAAGCATTCTTGTCCTTCACAGTTAACTTAGAAATCACAAATATGCAAAAGAAAAGAAACTTTGTAATCCCACATCACTGTTAGAGTTGGCTATGTATGCTACGCATATTTTTCCCATTTAACAAAAATAAGATCCTAATATTTGTTCAGTACTGTATTTATCCTGCCATTTTCACCAGTTACATGTCATGAATATCTTTCCACTCACTTGTTTACCCTACCACAATATTTCAAGTAGATCACTACGTTATGAAAGCATCGTGACTTACCTAGGTAACCAGATGTCCCTAGTATAAACATTTCAGTTCTTTCCAGGTTTTCACTTACAAAAATACATCCTGAGAACCAAAATTTTGCAGCTATCCACACCTATTTCCCTGGGAATAATTCTTAGGCATGGAAATGACTATTAAGATATGAAAAAATGTCTAGACTTGTAATGTACATTCCAAAGTTGTTCTCAGGAAAGTTGCACCCTTTATCTTAGGAGCCTATGGAAGAGCTATGAGAGTGTAACTTTTGTGTTATCCTCACAACTGTACAAGTGATTATTTTAAAGAACATTATCCATGGATATAGGGGAAAGAGTAGTTTTGGGCTCAAAGACACTGGATGCTTGCCAGAAATGTCACATGGAAATGAGGTCTGTGGCCAGAGTGTTGGATTTATGTAACTGACGCCAGTGCTTTGTCCATCAGTAAGCAGGAAGGCTACTGATTCATGTGCTTGGCATAACTTAAAAACCCCTCCCTCCCTCTGGAAAGAGGGTCCAACTTTTATCGCTGGCAGTGACACAGCCCTGGTAGTAACTGTGTAGTGAGAAATCACTGATAGTTAGCATTTCTGGAGTACATACTATGCGCTAGGCATTGAGTGAAGCACTTTGCATGGATTTTCTATTAAATTGTATAACACACTCATGAGGAAAGCAACACTACAATTGCTGCCCAATCCTACTTGGCACCTGTTTTAAGGAGAAAAAACTGAAGTATAGAGAGGCTCGTTATTTTCCCCATATCTCATAGCTAAAATACATTTAAACCATCAGCCCCCTCAAAGCTACTAGAGAACCTTTTCTAGTTTAATTTCAAGCTTAGGAAGTGGGAATTGTGCGTTATCGCTCAGTAAGCAGGACTGGCCTGGGCAGAGGAGAAAATCCATGTCGAGTCACTGACCTGGGCCTCTGTCCTCCAGTTGATCACGTGGTGCCTGAGCCCGAGTCCAGCCTGAGCGAGGCCTATGAGAAGTGGCGTGAATGGGCTGACGGGAAGAGCTGCTGTGACTATGCCCTGCACGTGGACATCACCCATTGGAATGACAGTGTCAAGCAGGAAGTGCAGAGCCTCATCAAGGACAAAGGTGAAGCTGAGCATGCCCTCTGCCCTCCTCCTTGGGCATCTCCTTGCCTGTACTTCTTACACCATCAGTTCATTTCAGTCTTATTTCCTTGCTTGGAGTCCGAAACATTAAGCTTGAGTCCTGGACATAGGGGTTCCACCATGTACCCCTTTGTGTGGAGTCTTACCTCCTACAGGATGCTTATGGGATCACAACCTGTTACTCCCACTTTTCAAGTGGTGAAGCTGAGGGTCAGACTGACTGGCCAAGATCACAGAATTAGTAAGCAGTAGACCTACCCAAAGTCAATCTTCCTCACTTCTGTGCAGTACCACCCATTTTGCAGAGGAAGATGCTGAGGCTAGGAGAAGCTAATGTATCCTATGTAAGGTCACCTGGACAGCAAATATGAGCTTAGGCACTTTAAACCTCTATCATTTTTACCCCAGAGAGCAAACCATTGCTCTTATGTAACATTGACATCCTCAGAAAAATCTGACATATTTCCAGGAGCGAGGATGTGTTGCTACTCAGCCTAGAAGCTTAGGGCATGAAAATATGTTCTTGTGGTAGCAGGCGTGAGGGGTAAAGGGAGTTTCCTCTCAAAAGTATATGACTTAAGCCCATTTTCTCAAATTCTTCTCTTATCTACTTCTTTCTATGTTTTGATCAGTAGATATTTACACCATCATAGAACATTGTTAAGTCTACTGGCATCCAGTCCTGTGAAGAACAATAGAATCAATGCCACATGGCGAGAGAACAGGCATCATATTAGTACTCTGGTCTCACATGCTAGGAGTGCAGCAGAAGAGCTTTCACCTAAGGTGGAGGGAAAGGATGATCTGTTAGAGGATGAACTTTTTATTTTCAACCCTGTTTTTACTCCCCAAGTCCTATCCAATTCTTGATGATACAGAATATAAGATTAGCTCCCTCTTTTTCTTCTGTACCTTCTTATACACTGGGCATCTCAATTGGAGTAGAAAATTGAATGGCTTTAAAAACGTAGGGTCTCGGTCATTCCACGATGACAGGGAGGCTTTTGGGAAGAGTGGTCTGGTCAGAGCTGCCCTGAGCCGAACCATTCTGGGTAGAGGCATTCTCAAACTATAATCCACTTCTGGCTAGGAACACTGTGGGTTGAGATGGCCTTAATGGTAGAGACCAAAATTGTCTTCCTGCCCTCAAAATGATTCCCTGTTCCCTAGACCTACCTATTATTTTGGGTGAAAATTTAATTTTCCTTATAACCCTGGCAACTGAGGTCTTTGAGCAAGAGGCAAAACTTACTTTCCGCCCCCACTAGCTCTGTTAGTTCTCTGAGGTCAGGGTCTACATTATTTTTCTTTAACATTTGAAATTCACATAAATTTGTTTAAATTGAAGAACAGTTCCTAAGACTGCATTTAGAGACTGTATTTAGAGGCACCGTGTTCAGTCCAGTATAGAGCAGACATTCAGTAAATAGTGAAATAACCTCATTCCGGGAGCCCTGTAATAGAGACCATATATCTACCTTGATGGGTGCTGAGAGCTCTCCTTTAAGGTGTTGCTGCCTTCACACCACCTTATGATGCAGGGCATTGTTATTTTTCTATTTTACAGGTGAGAAAAACAAGACCCAGGGAGATATCCATTCCCAGCTCACTGCACTATGTGCAGGACTCTAGTGGTACAGCCTACGTGTGAACCCAGCTAGGGCTATAGTGGTTCTCCATGCTGGCTGCTGCCTCAAGCAGTATCCAAATGTACTGAGCTTCTGGGCTAAAAAGATGGAGGGGGCATCTTAGTCACTGTCTCATCACCTGTAACTTAAGGAGAAGACTGTAACTTAAGGAGGAGAGGTTTATTTCAAGTTCCAGTCCTTTGTACGCTCAGCAGCATGGTGGAGGAAAGCTGCTCACATGCTGATGGCGGTCGAGAGGCTGAGAGTATAAAGGGGAGAACTTGGGAGAGAGACACTTCCTGCCAGGTCATGTCCCCAGTGGCCAATGTCTTCTGACCAGGCCCTGCCTCCTAACCTCTAATTAGATAAAGTGCCCTCGTTACTCAATTACTCCTTAAAAGACCTGCCTTTGAGTGCATGAAGCTTTAGGGGGCATCTGGATATAAACCAGAATAGGGGAAGTACGAAATAGGCACAAAATAAGGGCCTCGCTGCAGTGACATCGCTTAGGAACTACTGATTTTATACGGTAAGGGTCGGGATGATAAAATGTTTTTGGAGAAGTTGAAGGATCTGCGTGATACTGGATTGGCACTGAGTAATATGCTCAGCTCCCATGGGTGAGAGAATGGAGCTAAGGAGAGAAGGTTGCTGTGATAATGTTGTCTTTCTCCTGTTTTTCTTCTCTGTCTTGCAGGGGTTAACTCCTTCATGGTTTACATGGCCTACAAGGATTTGTACCAAGTGTCCAACACAGAGGTAACAACCCCTATGCCATGAGGTTTTAGGTATCTGATGGGTTTCCTATTGTTGCTGAATATCTTGGCCCTTGAAACATGAGTCACTGTGGTCAGTGTGGGAGACCACTGGGCCAGAGTACTTCTTGAAGCCCTTGCAGTCCACATGGCTTTGTAAATAAGGTAATGGGCAGGGTGCCACTGGCCAAGCAGGGATAGGGAGCTAGAATTTCCACTAGCGGCAGCTTTCTGGGAGAATAAGAGAAAGGGCAAGTCTAAATCTTCATCTGCTGAACAAGTTCCCAGCCCCTTATAAGCTGTGAGAAAGCATAGGATTACCTGTCTTATAGGATCAGGAGGACCTGCTGCTACTTGGAGTAGTTGTTCTAGCTTGCCTATGACTCTTCCTAGAAAGTCATGGCTTGTATTTGTTGTAGACAAATCTCAAATTAGCAGAGGAAATGCAGGAAATTAATTCCTGTGTCTCTTGGTTAGGAGATGAAGGTTGGTTCAAACATAGGGTTTCAGCTTTTGTGTTAGTTTTGACCTGGCTGTACTGGCTTTCCAGAACACTTGTTCCAAAGGATTCGCTAGCTATGTCTCAGTTCAGTGGGAAATGATTCATTAAAAATAGGTTCCTGAGCCAGAGGATGCGCTCACCAGTACTTCATTAGATTCTGGTTCTGTTTGTCTAGAATATGACAGGATCTTCAAACAGACATATCTCCCAGAGTTTCTTTGGACTACATTCCTCTTTTGTCATGCATATTTTAGTCTGTATTTCTGCTCTAGTCATAGATTTCTTTTGGTTTATTCCATTTGTTTTAGCTCTGGCTTTAGTAATTGGCCTTTAAATGAGGTGACTAAAAGTGGCTGGGAGGATGACAAAGATTCATTTCTATTTCAGCTCTATGAGATCTTCACCTGCCTGGGAGAGCTAGGGGCCATTGCTCAAGTTCATGCTGAGAATGGGGACATCATTGCCCAGGTAACACAGGGAAGCCCCCTGGCAAGTGCTTTCTGAGGGTGCTCAGGTCTGCATCCCATTGGTCCTCCTCTCTTCATGGTCACTTGAGCTCTTGACGTGTGGAAGAGACCCTCAAGGCAAAATTTGTTAAAGACAGAACTGGCCCTAAAGAACTCACAGTCTACATGGAGGGAAAAAAGAAAAGGAAATGGAGAAACTCCAAGATGCTGTAAAACAGGAAGCAGTCTGGCCATCCCAGAGAATCAGAAATGGTGTCCTGGAGGGGGACACTTTCAAACTGGCCCAGTTGGTGGGAGAGCAGTGCTGATCCTCTTCTAAAAATGAGTCAAAGCTCTGTGACATTGTCCTGATGAAAAACCCTAAGGCAGCAGTTCTCAGAAGCCAGAAATCTGATCCACATCTGCAGAAATCACAGCCTTAGATAATAAAGGATCTAGGTCTTGTGGGGATCAGACTGGCTTCCTAGAAATCATATTGAGAAACATGAGGAAAGAGTGATGAAAGCAAGGGCCCCAAAGCCCAAAGTGATCATTTGTAAGGAAGCAGAAAGCAATTCCTCTCTGTCTCCTGGACCGCTTAATGGAAGAGACACACACACAGATGTGTCTTAGGCAGGGTTATGTTTATCTTATAATCATTCAGCACTGGCCTTTGCTTGGAGGAGATGACCAGTAAAGAAGCAGGAGCTGTCTTAGGCCCTTTTATAGCATTAATTTCGAGAACCAGCATCCATTCTTTCTGAGTGTACTCTGAGCACTGTGCCAGGCAAGAGGCTCTGAGGTGAGCGGAAGCAGATGCACTCCATAGCACACAAGTGCTTTGGGCTGTGCCTCCACTTCAGAAGCTGCCCAGGACTTGGTGGAAGTGGTCAGCAGGGGTGTGGGAGCAACAGACAGGCCTAGCCTTGTCCCAGACCCAACAGCTTCCTAATAGCAGGTACGGTTGGTGAAGCACTTATCACTACATGCCAGGCACTGGCTAGTACTCTGGAATATTCTCCTTTAGTCTTCTTCCAACCCTTAAAGATGTTGTCATCCTTCCTGTTTTATAGATCAGAGCATCGGCTCCTAGGGATTATGTCACTGGCCCCAAAATCACAGCAAATGACCATGACCGGAGGGCCAGATCTTAGCTCCTAAGGGGTTGTGCCTCAGTGGGCACCTTTACCCAGAGATGGAGTTTGTGGGGTCCCTTCCTCCTAGAGCCCAGCTGCAGGCCCCCGGAGACACAGTGCCCAACAGTGCAGGGCTCCAGCCCCTGTAGTCTCAGACTGAGTGTGGAGGGGTCGACTAAGTGAGCACTTTCCTCTTATGACCAAGGAGGCTAATTAGACAGGCCCCAGACTCTGCCTTCTCCCGAATCTCCCACACAACCAGACATAATGAAATCATTTTCCACAGAGGGTGGAGGGCCCAGCTCCCAGGAGAGACGCCCGCTGGTGTTACAGCTGCCACCCTTCCCCCTTCTCCAGGGGTTCAGGCAGCAGCCAGCGGTCCCAGCCTTCCCTTCAGCTGCCCTCCAAACCAAAGTCCCCACTCCTCCAATCTAAAGGCAAGGGGATTCCAAGGCAGAGCCCCTTTTCCACAGAGGCCTCTTCAGTTCCCCTCCACCCCCAGCTTTTCCCTGCCTCAAGATCTGTTCTCTGTCAAGAGAAGAATAAGGGCATTTTCCCACTTGGATGAATTTCTTGTGTGTGTTTATTAAATTCAGCTTGAGCAGAAAGATTTTATCACATTGTCTAAATGAAGGCAGCTGTTGTACTTAGAATTTCTTGCTGCATTTCTGCAAAAGTGACTAAAGAGCCAAAAAGATCACTTCCTTTGGATACAAACAAGAGCAGTTTTCAGACCTTTCTAGCTGACAGGGTAGTGTGAGGGTACAGCATCTCCAGCCATTCATTTAAGAAATGCTTTTTATTTTATTAGTACATGTTTGAGTATGTAATGATTATATTCATTGTGAGTACTTGGTACATGTACATAACACATCCACATGCACATAAGCATCAGTGGGTCATTACATGTCATCTTTAATCTTTCAACTGTAAGTAAAACCATAGATTTTAGAATAAGACTTCCCATGAGCAGTGTATTAGAAGAGCTAGATTTTCCTGATTCCACATACTCTCATTCAGTAGTTCAGTAGTAGAGTTCATTAAAGTGTATCTTGAAGACGTATCCCAGCTGGGTATGGTGGTGCACAGTTGTAATCCCCATACTCTAGGAGACCGAGGCAGGAGGATCTCAAGTTCAAACCTAGCTTGGGCAACTTAGCAATTTATAGAGACACTGTCTCAAAATGAAAAATAATAAAAAGGGAGGAGCTCAATACAAAGGCCCTGGGTTCAATCTCAGCCTCCCCAACACCCCCACCAAAAAAAAAAGAAAAAAAGGAAATAGGTCCCTAGTAACTGTGTTTGGAATCCACTGCTTGAGCTAGCTTTTCTCTGTGCATTATCATGGTACACACGAGCAAGAGAGAACTGAGTGTTACATAAGAAAAAAGATACTGTCACCATCAACCGTAAACTTCGTGTGACTTAAGGTGCTTCAGAGTGGACACGCACAAAAGTTTGGAAGAAATTTTATTCCATTGAGGTTCAAATAAATGAGGACAATGAGAATGACAAGTAGAGGTCCTTTGCTGGAAAAAAGTAGCGTGTGACCTTTTATGCAACTTTCCATCTCTTACATACACTTTCCTTTTTACTCCTCTTTTAGAAATTTTGAGTTGTGAACAACAAAAAAAATCAAAAGGTTCTTTTTCTCCAAGGGATAATTTTTCTAAACGTCTCAGAGTTGTAAAGTGAGATGAGACTTGCCTTACTCCCCACTTCCTCGCAGGCTCAGGACACTCCCAGGTCACTCGGCTGGTTTGCTGGAAGTAGTTTTAGGAATTTCAGGGTGAATGCCAGCAAAACTGCAGGTATGGTGCTTTTGGATTCCTGCCAGTTCCAATTAGCCCTGTGTGTGTTCAGTGTCCAGCCACCTGCTTCTTCAGGAAAGCTGGCCAGAAGTCTGAGGGGTTCAGCACTCAGCCACCAGGGCCAGGGAGATCACCTAGTGTCCACTGTTCAACTAAGGAGAATTTGACCAAATCACTAACTCAGTGCTGTCTGGAGGTATTATTTCATATGGTTAAACTCTGAATTCATTCATTTAAGCCATAGGTGTAAAGCATAAAAACCCAGAGGGCTTAATTGAAATGTAGATTACTAGGTTTTCCCCTTACCATCTGATTTGGTAGGATTAGGCCAAAATAGGGCCAGAAATTGGCATTGCTGTAAAGCAGCTCAGGTGATTCTGGTGGGGGTGGTGGCCGGATCGCACTTTGGGGAATGTTGCACTAAACTGTAAATTCCATGAGGTCACAGGAATTCAAGTACTTAGCCTAGCATAAAGCAGATACTCAGTAAATTTTTTTGGATAAATAAGTTTAAAAGTGCAGAAATGAATAAACCAACAAGTTAAGCAAGTGGGCTTTCATGGGCAGCTGAGTCTGAAAGATACGGAGAGTAAGTGACCTGGCAGGACTTCTGATAGGTAATACAGACAAAAAAATGGATGTTCTCATAGACCAACTAACTGTCTTACTTGTAATAAAGAAGTCACACTTACACGGCAACTCCAAATACAGAGAATTAATGTTTGTTGCACATACATATTTTATTCTTTTTTTTAAGCATGTTTAGATCAGAATATAGCAGTATAATTTTTCCACATCGAGTTGAGCTCATCTAAGAATTTATTGGGTTTTTTCCTCATTCTAGGAGCAAAACCGGATGTTGGAAATGGGGATAACTGGCCCAGAAGGCCATGTGCTGAGCAGACCAGAAGAGGTAAGATGGGGCGGGGGGGTAGAAGCTGTAGCAGTAGAGCTTTTTATCAGCATCTCCTGGGAGACTCTGATTATTGCAGTCCCAGCCACCTATCACTCATGTTATATATAGAGAGTACCTGTTGGCTTGCTTTTCCGAGCCACGTACACACACAGTTACGATGAAAACACTAATAGTGAGAAATCTACGCGTACAAGAAAGCAGTATCAAAATATTTCTTTTAAAGACCACTTCTGACCCACCATAGCTCAAGGACCTGTGAAAATAAGTCAGAAAGGAATGCAAAGAACATGCTTACTTCTGACCCCCAATCTCTTTGACATAGTACAAGCTGCAGTATGCTCAGTTGATTTTCAGTATGAGTTGTAAATTGCTAATGCCTTTCTTAATCATTGTGAATCTTGGAGACATTTCCACTTCCTGTCTTATTTCACACTATGTTTTGATGCTTGCAATGTATTGATCACATGAACAGGAGGTTGAGTAGTCTTTTTCATAGGCATTATGCCCATTGATTTGCCTAAGTTGATGATTATATCCAGGTTTCCACATGGTGCATACATGATGATGCACAGCTACAGAACCAGTAAAATGTGACCAGTGACTGATTCCTTGCCTCTAGGATGTCAGCAGCTTCACCTGCTGGCAGAGGGCACAGAGCTGGGAATTGGCTGCCCGAATGACTGAGAGCAAGTTGGCTTTGGGAGAGCAGCTGGGATCTGGAACCTGGAGTTGATCCAAGGCTTTTTGTATCAGTGAAGTAAATTCTTTTGCTCTACTGTCATTCTAGACTCCACAATAGATAGAAAAGAATCAGAACCAGAAAAGACAGGGTTCCATGGCCCAGGTCTTCTAGAGACTTTTTAACAATGTGACACACACACAGAAAAACGTTCACATCTTAAGGATGCAGTAATTTTCACAAACTGAATGCATGTATATAAGTAGCACCCAAGCAGCAATACAGAATTTTTTCAGCTCCCCAGAAACTCTCTTGTGTCCAGTGATATTTTAATTGCCATTTGAAATAATTGAGAAGCTTGTATTGAAATAATTTTAAAGATTGTGTCATAGCATTCCTGAAAAATCTGTCTTCTTAATAATACCTGGTCTTTTCTACAGAACACATAGCTGGTACCATGCTGATTGCATGCCTTATCTTAGTTATTCATACTGCTGCTCCAGGTAGTTGACATTATTGCACAGGTAAAGAACCTGAAGCTCAGAGAGGTTAAGCCACTGGCTGATCATGTTTGAAGAACTGGAAAATCGTCCACAGTGTGAGCAGGCCAGGGTGATCAGCACTGTTTGTAAAACTCTGTAAATGTTGGTCACTGGAGAGATGTGCTGGCAGGATAGATTTCTTCAGCAGCAGCCAGGGGATTTCAGAGCAAGGTCTATTTTTGTTCCTTGGTTTGTTTTTTCAACCTTCCCCCACCCTAACCCTCCCAACCTTCTCCTGGTTCCCGTCTCCTTTTTAGTAAAAAAAAGCCTCTCAGTTGCAAATCTCTACAACCCTGGAAGCCCTTTTGGGTGAAGTTGGAGGGTGATGTAACCTTCCAAAGATAGTCATGCTGTGGAAGTGTGGAAAAACCTGCAATGTTGGGAGGGAAGGAGATCAAAGAGGCCATGGCTGCAGTCATGGGGGCGCTGAAGTGATCAGCAAAGATGTGAAGGGGGAGGAATGAGGAGGGAGGAGCCAACCCATCTCTTTTCAAGCACCTCAGGATATCCTCTCCAGTGATGCTCTTCAGGGTGGAACCTGAGGCTCAGAGCACCACTGCAGGGTGCAGTGGGGCGCTTAGGGTGGCTGTGTTCACTGCACTCAGGGGCCCTCTGGACTTTGTCCGCACCAAATAAATGCAGCTTGATGGATGCCAGCTTAGCCCAGCACATTCTAGAGCCAGTCTGCTGAGTTCCAGGCAGGGACTGGTTTGTATTAGACAACCACTGGGCATCTGCAAGCTATTTTGGTGTTTTTCTAAGTGTTGGGCCGCACAGACTAACCAGAAAGTCATATTAATACAAAAAGGAACTGTTGGTTATCAAATGGAGAAATGCCAGTGTCTGTGCTCTAGGCTGAATAGGACTGATTGGGCTTTGAGTAATAACAGATGCAGACTGCTTAGAAACTGATCAGCAATAAGACCAATAGCTGCCCCTCAAGGGCCACTTGACTTGTTCCAGAAGTCAGGTGATTGCTTGCAAAGACTAACCCATTTAATCCTCATAGCAGCCCTAAGTGCCAGGTCCTGTTAATATCCCCACTTTACATGCAAGGAAACTGAGGTGTCAGGAGGTCGTGTACTGTACCTGAGGTCACTCAGCTTATAACTAAAGGACTCAGACTTAGGCCACCTGAGACAGCCTGAGCTCTCAGACCCTCCTTTGTTAATAAAATAGGGGAAGCTCATTACTTGTTCTCAACAAATGCAACTGGGTTGGAGAGCGTATTTGAAAACATGAATTCTACATGAGGGTGGGATGGAAGAAATCAATACTAAAAGAAATCTTTGTGCTGAGAAGAGTGGAGGTTATTTTGGTAAGAAACGCTTCCTAGAATGCACCCTTTGCAGACTACCTCTTGCTTCAGGAAAGAATTGGAGGAGCTGATGCCTAATTGCCTTTACTGATTAGTCTACACTTGATGTTTTTGCAGAGAACCTACCTTGAAACTATAGGGAAGCAAAGACTTCCATTCAAGTACAGCCTTTGTGATGACCACAGGGAAGACTCGGGATTCTAGTGGAGAACAAATCAATAGGGACTCGGTGCCAGCACCGGTCAGCCCCAGCCCTATGCTGTGTTCTCTTGTCTGTTTTACCATGAGGGACAGAGGCACTGAGGAGCTAAGCAAAGCATAGAGCTGGAGGTGATGGATCTGAGATGCAGGTTCAGGTCTCTTAATGCCAGATCCTTCTAGATTTTAAACTTCTGCACAGCGCTGTGTTCTCACCATCTGTGGAGGTAGGAGTGTGGCCAGGGTAAGAGGCTCAGGTTCCTGTCGACTCCTGGTTCTGTGGTTGTTTGTTTTTGCAGCTGGAAGCTGAGGCTGTGTTCCGTGCCATCACCATTGCCAGCCAGACTAATTGCCCTCTGTACGTCACAAAGGTCATGAGCAAGAGCGCGGCTGACCTCATCTCACAAGCCAGGAAAAAAGGTGATGGGTGTTCTTAGAGCCCCTGCCACACCATATGGTCCCTTCCCTCCTTGGTTCTGTATAATATAAATGGTGCCTGTTTTGCTCACTGCCTTGCTCACTAGGAAACCTCTGTCCCACTCAGGATCCAGAGATTTTCCCACCTGGGGCTCAGGAAGGTTCAGTGCCTTGCCTAGGATGCCACAGCCTGAACAGATCATTGTGAGACTTGACGCATCTTCTCTCCTCATTTTGATCTTTCATTTCCAGTTCACATTATTTGAACTTTATAAGTGCACACTAGTCAAGATTACTGCAGGTACCACAGTCAAAGATCCACCCCAAACTGGCTTCAACAAGCAAACAGAAGCCAGTGATTGCTTGTGGGTATTTTACACATGGCCACACTGAGGGGTTTTAACAATGTTATCTATCACTCTTACTACATTCTTGGCTCTCTTGCTCTTCCCTGGGGGCTTTATGTTCATTGTGAACAGTATCAAGGTTAGATTCCAGGAGCACTGGGACTGCCTTGGCTTGGGTCATGTGCTCATTCCTGAACCAAAGACTGCTCTGGAGATGATGTATAATCTAGCCATGACCGAGGGAGGAGAATAGCACAGGCTCCCCCAGCTGACCACATAGGTTAGCATGGCTTATTTTAGAAGAGGGGATGAATGAGTCTTCAAAAGATGTCTACCACCATGGTCTTCAGGGCACAAGGCCCTGTCCCCACTGCCTTCCACCTTCTGCTTCATTTCCCCACTGCTGTTAACTTGACCTTCAGTTCCTAACTTGAGCTTAGCTAAAGTTTATTACCATTTTCAAGCTTTCTTCTCTATTTTTGGTACTTGTCCTCAGTGGCAGAGTAATAGGCTCAGTTGTGGATCTGATAAATGAGTAGTGTGGTGGAGAAAGTGGAGGTGGAAGTTGTATGTCTGGTTGTGAAAGAGGACTCAGCAGGCCCAATTGTACCCTCATTACTGCTATGGGTCAGTGACCAGCTGGTAATGGAGAGACCAACATGAGTGACTCATCTGCCAGACTGGACTGTGAAATTCCATGTGTGGTGACTGAGTGGCTAAAAATAGCTCCAGCTGACTCTGCCAGCTGAGTTTTCAGTGCCTGGCCTTTGGGCAAAGGATAACCCTTTCCTTATGGAAGGGAAATCTTCCTAATTGCCCAGGCTTGGCTGGCAGGTTCCGGGATATCTCCTACCTCATCTTGTTCATGGTGAGCTGCTGTTTTCTCCCTCAGCATTCAAATGCCTCAGCTGACATGGCAGGGTTGCTCTGCTGGATGTAAGTCATTGGGTGAGAATCAGGACCCATTCTTGGAGAAAAGGAATGGGAGGGGGCCTGTGCAGGACCTCACCCACCCCATCACACATCCTTTGATCCAGGACCACCCACCACACTCACCTCTGGTGGCCTGGATCCCACCCTCAGGATGACCTGGAGACCTTCGAGGATGGGCTGTTTCAGTTGAATGCTTATTTCGAAGTTCATGGTGAAGAATTCCTACCCCTTACCCTTCTGGCTCATGATTCCCTGGCAAAGAGAACTAGTGCAGCTGTGTCTCCAGGGTGGAACAATGTTTCCTTTCAATGATGAAAAACTGGCTGCTGAGATTGAAGCCAGTAAACATCTCAGACTGTCATCCTCAGAGAAGGAATCAAGAGCATCCCGAACAGGAAGACAGTGCAGCGGGGCTTACTCTTCCCCCCTGACCACATTTCTTTTTAACTCCAAAGGAAAGTAATCATCCTTGACCCATGAATAACTCTGCATGGCTGCTCAGAATTAGAATTAGAAAGCTTCAATTTAATGAGGACCGACATAATGCCCAGCACTGGTTGTATAGAATTCTCAGAGAGCACGAAGGCATGTTATGCAAGCATTATTGTCCTCCTATTTCAGATGAAGAAGCTAGAGTGCAGCTTGACTAGGGTCTCCCTGCTATGCGGCCTGGCATTGAAACTCAAACATAATGACAATCCTTGCTTCTTGCAACACGTAGTCCAGAAGAACTGCTCTTCCACTTTTAAGGTTGTATTTCTTTGGATAGTAGTTGAGTGCTTGCCTTGACTCTCTTTTCATTTCTTTGTGGCCGTAGATGCTTTAGTGTGGTAAATGTTTTTGGAGAGCCTTGAAATCCTCATCAGTTACACATCAGTCTTCTTACCACCTCCTCATAGAGCAGGGATACCCTATGTGAACCACTGCTATGCCTCTCTCTTCCATCTGGCAGACGTTACTGATCAGTCAGGAATGCTTTCTGGTGAGACAAGAAGCATTATTAGAATTCTTTCCCACCTGGAATTCCAGTTAATTACCAGTTGGATGGAGTTGAAGCAAGGTGAAACTTCTTTATAACCCTGCCATAGAGACTCTTGGAGTTGATCTGAGTGAACTTTGACAGTGAAGAAGGACCAGTGCTAAAGGAGCCCAAGACTGTGCAGGGCACCTTGGACTCCAAGTCAGTTGGCATGGAGAAGCTTGATACCTCCTCCTTCCTATGAGCAGCACTTGCATTCTGTATTATATCCCTCCTCTTTAAGAAGCTCAACAAGAGCTTAGATCATTGTACCTTCCACGCCCTTCCTCACCTCTCTTCAGTTAAGCCCTTGGCTCCTGACAGAAACCAAGAAGCTTGCCTCACCTTTGATATGCTCAGGCTGTAGGTGCTTCTGGAGCAGGTCACTCTTTGCTTTAGGTTAAGAAGAAAACCATGATGGTAAAGGTCATGGGAGGGCTCTGATCCACAGGAATGGATTTCACTTTGTGGAACCAATGCATGTCCTTGTATCAGAAGGATCTCCAAATTCCCAGTGATGTGAGGTATTTTCAGGACTTCAGGCCTTAGAATGGAATCAGCATTTACTGAGAACCAACTATGTGCCAGATTCCTCCCATTTGCTAAATCCTTTCATTTCTCAAAGCCTGACACATAGACATTATCTTGTTTCATCAATTCTAGGATATATTTATTTTGCATTTTAATATTTCTGAAATGAAGATAAATCTTACAATCAATGCATTTTTTTATTTCCTTTGCCTCAAATTTTAATTTGCTTCAGAATTTGAAAATTAATGCTGTACCTCACAACCAGTACTTATTATCTAGGGAATGCAAAATTGTTCACATTTAGCAGAGAGAAAAGCAAAGACATAAAAAAGGTGGGGACATGGACTTGAACGAGGGTCTGCCCAACTCCAGAGGTATAAGCTTGCAGCAGGCTCTGGAGCTGAACAAACCCATTGCCTGTTTCCTCCCCCTTCTAGGAAACGTGGTCTTTGGGGAGCCCATCACTGCCAGCCTTGGTATAGATGGAACCCATTACTGGAGCAAGAACTGGGCCAAGGCAGCTGCATTTGTGACATCCCCACCTCTGAGCCCTGACCCAACCACTCCTGACTACATCAACTCTTTGCTGGCCAGGTCGGTGCGGGACTGTCAGGCAGCAGGTGGTTTGTGGGAACATTGTGGGGCCAGCTGGGCTGGGGGCTGGGTGACTATCCACCAACGACACTCCTGTCTAAAGGGCAAAATTCTCCTGCAGTCTGGAGTACAGAGAACAAGTGCTTCTTCTCATATTTCAAATGGCAGTTCAGTAATAATGTTATAATGACCATGCCAGTTAATGCCTATGTGATCTTATTTGTTCCTCATAACAACTTTACAAGTCGGGCACTGTTATTATCACCACTTGACAGATTAAGCAACTGAAGGCCAAAAAGCTGAAATTATTTGCCTAAATTCAAATGGTTGTTCATGACTCTTAGCCAAAATTATAGAAAGTCATGCTTGTTCCTACCCTCTGTGGACATGGAGGGTCAGGCCATCGCTCTATTAAGTCCCTTATATTTTGCGACCAAAGAGATGATATGATTCCACCCCCTCATTTTCCAGATGGGGTACCTGACCCCAGGAAGGGTAAGACACTCACCCAGGCTCACACAGCTCAGAAGGGGTAGAGAAGGAATTCCACACTGAAGTAGTCAGACTACATTCTAGATACAGATTCAGTCTCCCCACGTGCCCCAGATATCCCACTGCTTATGGGCCACTTTTTTCCTTTTCCAGCGGTGATCTGCAACTCTCTGGCAGTGCGCACTGCACCTTCAGCACTGCTCAGAAAGCCATTGGGAAGGACAACTTCACAGCCATCCCCGAGGGCACCAACGGCGTAGAGGAGAGGATGTCCGTCATCTGGGACAAGGCTGTGGTGAGCAACTGAGGTCCTGGGTGGGTGGCCAGGGACAAGATAACCTTGGGCCGGATCAGAGCCTCTGGTACCAACCCAGCTGAGCTCCTGCTCCTCAGACCTCTGCTGGTGCAGATGCACAGGGTCAGATGAATCTCACACCTGCTAAGGGTCCACAGAGCTAGACGGCTCGGGTAACTTGGGAATTTACCATCTACTGATGAATCCAGAAGTCCAGGGTTCTGAAGGGTTTCCTTGTCTGGAATCTCAACAGGAACCAGACACATAGCCTTGGTGCTTAAAATACTCATGAATTAATTCTTCTTTTTTTTGAAAGTTTTATGATTTCTTTTGAAAGGGCTAGAAACAGTGCTTTGAAATGGTGGGCCAGAAGACTGTGCCTAACATCTGTCTGCCCATCGAATGTGCCATGCACTGAGGACATACAGCCATTCGGCTCTCTAAGACATTGTCTATCAGTGCTTTTCACATCCCAAGGGCTGATAAAAGCAACAGCCAAGGAAACAGAGGCTCGTGAAGATTTTAGTAAAATTAGTAATAAACTCATTAAGTTGATTGCTTTCCTGTTTGTAGCACCAAATAGAATGTGTATGAACTAATGGCTCATTCATCTACATAATCTAATCCACTGAGTCTTTTTTCCTTGTCTCCTAGGGAACTCAGAGCTAGATTTTAAATTCACATCTTTCCTTAGTCATTTCATTTTAAGAAAACAGAAAAGATAATTTTTTTTGTCCCTTCACTTACATGGTTAGCTTTTGTCTTTCTTTTTTATAATTATATATTTATGAATGTATGTATGTGTGTATCCTAGCACTATTTGAATTTGTAAAAAAGTAATATATACATTCCTTGCTGCATAATGATATTTCAGCCAATAATGAGCAACATAAGGAGTCCTGTAAGATCGTATTGTCTAGTTTGATCACAGCAGTCTTAGTTCGTGGTATGTGCACTCTGTGCTTCTGTGACATCCACACAGTGATGAAACTGCCCCTAATGTACTTCTCAGAACCCCGCCCCATTGTGAAGTGAGGTGTAGCTGTCTGTTTGAATTGCCAACGTGATACATCCTCAATAAAGAACACTTGGAAACCTCAGACAAGCACACACATGAAAAAAGCACAAATCTCTCATAATTAGGCAACTGAGGGATGACCTTGGCTGTCCTCAGGTGAGACCTTGCAATTCATCCTGTGCATGGACACAGACACACACACACGCAGCCCCCTGACCATGTTCCTCACCTGTGGGACGCCTCATTCCTGGGCCTGCATGGTCCTCTTCCCCTGGGACCAGAAACCCCCACACTGACTGGTATAGATGATGCGGAGATAAGCTATACACACAGAATTTTTTGTGTTTCACTAGGCCACAGGAAAAATGGATGAAAACCAGTTTGTGGCTGTGACAAGCACAAATGCTGCCAAGATCTTTAACCTGTATCCCCGCAAGGGCAGAATATCTGTGGGCTCTGACAGCGATCTGGTCATCTGGGATCCAGATGCTGTGAAGATCGTCTCTGCCAAGAACCACCAGTCGGTAAGACTGGGCCTTTGGGAGGGGAGGGATGGGGAGAATGTCACTTCACAGAGCACCGTCAGGAGAAGTGGGGTGTGGTTAGAGCAGGCTGGCCACAGTCATGGTCCCTCCCACATCTTAGTCGCTTGGAACTTACCCTGTGGACGCCTCTCTCCTGCCTGCCTGGTGGACTGCCCAGAAGAGGGTGCTCAGGTCACTGGTCAGAGGCTGATAGACACCCTCCCCCCATTCTCATGTTTGCAGAGGCTCAGTCTTTTTGTTTTGAGAAGAGAGAAACTATAAATATTTTTGTCTTATGTTCCCATCTGTGTGCAAAATAATAACCAAAGCTCAGTATATACAACAGGTACTCAATACGCACTAGTGAAAAATGTTTCGGCACTTGTGTTTCAGGCACTGTGCTTTTAATTCACTGAATCTCCACAGCAGTCTTCTGCAGGTGGGTGCTACCATTCTCTCCATTTCATAGGAAGGGAGATGGACATGCAGAGAGATTAAATCATGGATGCAGCGGGCCAGGGGTAAAGGTGGTATTTATACCTGGACAATCTGCCTCCCAGCTGATGTTTTCAGCCACTTTGCAGTGAGTTCTCCCCTTAGTTGAGTCAGGATAGGAGGCAGGGAGAGAGAGAGAGACCCCGTTTTTGGTGGTGATGGCCTTTGCTTATACATGGTGTCATAGCTCATTGTGTAATTTTGAGCAAGTAGGACCCAGTGGCCACAGCTCCCTCTGTGTAACACTCAACACAAAGGCTCCATTACTCAGCTTCGCTGTGAGTACTATGGGCAGCAGAAATTGACTTCCACTGCATACCCTAATAAAGACTGGACATTCTTCCTTGTCACAAGGCCAGTCTTGCTTAGCAACTGTCAGCCTCGTGGTCCTGTCTGCCCATGGCAACGTTGCAGATTCACCATGTGAATTTTTCTTGCCAGCCTGGTTTCTAGAGACCCTGAACATAGGTTTCCAAATACAGCATGTGACCTCTGTCCTCCTCTTCCTGTGCCCATTCCGTGCCTTTGTCCCCACTTCACCTCCAGGCTGCAGAATACAATATCTTTGAAGGGATGGAGTTGCGTGGGGCGCCCCTGGTCGTCATCTGCCAGGGCAAGATCATGCTGGAAGATGGCAACCTGCATGTGACCCAGGGGGCTGGCCGCTTCATCCCCTGCAGCCCCTTCTCCGACTACGTCTATAAAAGAATCAAAGCCAGGAGGAGGGTAAGGAGCAGGTGGAGCCTGTGTGACCTGCCCAGGCTCAGGGATGGTAACCCCAAGACCAGGGAGGGCTGACTTTGAGAGACTCTCACAGAGAAATTCAGCAACATGCTCATCGTCCTGAAGAGCCCGTAACGCACTTAATGTGCGGTGAAAGACAGTTTTGAAAACAAGCTATCTTCCAAATAATTTCCTTACATTTTATATTTAAAATACTGTAAAATTTGAATAATCTGTTACAGTTTTTGTAAAAAAATAAGTGAAAAGCTCTCAAAAAGCCCCCAAATTAAGGCTTAAAACAAGAACTAGCAGTCCATACCCACCCGTCCCTGTCCCAACCTGACCAGGGCTATTCCATAGGGCGCATACAACTTTCAGCTACTGTGTTTCAAATAAAATCTTATTTATGTCCCTGACTTTGGACACACACACACACACACACACACACACACACACACAAGCTGTAGTTCATTTAAGGTTGAGGGTCAAACATTTCTTTCCTGATTTTCTCCCCTTTCTCACCTCCGTGTCACCTTCCTATAATCATAAGGCTTCACAAAGCAAGGTTAGATGAGATCCACACTCCAATGTCGGCCTAAGAGAAGGGAATGAGACTCAAAGCTTCCTAGACTCACTCTTTCTTTATATTAATGTGACTTGGATTCTGGAACTAAAGAGATGCCGATGATCTAGAGTCATGCATGATGAAATTATTCACAACTCATTACCACGTGCACATTTTCTGAGCTTGGCTTCTGTGCCTGCACCCAAGTCACCAGCTTGGAGGGGGGGCACAGCAGAGAGGGTGCTGCCAGGAGCTGCCAGGAGCATCCGGTCAGTGACCAGATGTGTTGGAGGCCGAGTATGGCTGTGCTCCTCCTTTGGAGTCTCACCGTGTTTGTCTGTGGACTGTAAGGCCCCTGGGGAAGCCACTGTGTTTCACTGACCATAAATGCCATGATCACTGTAATGCCCAGCACAGCGAATGCACTCGGTGACGTTGCTGGCTGGCTCCTCAGTTCCAGATCAGGTTCACAGCCACAGCCAGCAGTCAGCAGGTCAGACCCCAGACTCTCATTTCAGTGCCTGTCACTGCTGATCTGTGCTGTGGAGTGTGAGGGTGGAGGCTCCATACAGTCCCACCCGGCAGCCAGCACATGTGACCTCAGCTCAGCCTGCTGCCTTTCCCTGTCCTTCTCCTCATGCTGTGCTCATAGCTTTTCTTCATTCTGCAACAGTTCACCTTCAGCACTCTGCACTTCTGTTCCCTCTGCTGGCGACACAGCCATTCATACCACTCCTCTGTGTGCCCAGCCTTGTCCCTCCCCAGAGCCCAACCCCATAACAGGGTCCTTTGGTCCTTCAGATGGAAGCTCAGCTGGGTAGAAAGGGCTTCATGGGCCATCTCCATCTCAATCTGGTTGCAACATCTTTCTTTATTGTATATATACTATTTCTCCCTTCCTTAAAGTACGTTCATCATCATCATCTCCTCCTTCCCTGCACACAAGTAGGCCCTAAACTGTTTATGAATGAGGGTGATGTGCCATTTCTCTGCTGCAGATGGCCGACCTGCATGCCGTCCCGAGGGGTATGTACGATGGGCCCGTATTTGACCTGACTACCACCCCCAAAGGGGGCACCCCTGCGGGCTCCACCCGGGGATCCCCCACCCGGCCCAATCCGCCTGTGAGGAATCTCCACCAGTCTGGATTCAGCCTGTCTGGTGAGTGGACAAGCTGGTCCAGGGCGGGGAGAAGGGAAACCAGTGTTCTGGGGCTGTAGGATGCACCTGTGGGCTCCTGGAATGAGCCTTCCGGCCCAGTGCTGGCGTCCTCTGTAAGGGTGTTTACTGGGACAAGCAGCTGAGGGGTCCTGGTCAGAAAGTCAGACAAGGCACAGGCAGGTTAGAGGTCAAGGTTAAATAAGGACAGCTTCTGCTTAGAGATCAGAACTGGTCGGGGACAGGGCAAGGGAGCCGATTTTCACTCTAAATTGATACCGATTTTCTACGCTAACCTTTGAGAACTATGCAGTATATATTGTGTGTGGTCTTAAACTTGTACTGGTTAAAAGAAAGCTCACATTGTTCTTTTGCTCAAATTGCTAGATTCTTCTAGCCTAGGATTTTTATTATATTCTCCCCTCCATACTAGTAATAATGCTAACAGCAGCTTCCATTGATAGAACATTTACTACGGGTTACTTATTAATTTTATCTATTCTTTAAGAACTCTCTGAAATAAGTGAAACGTAATTGCTCATAGCCAGTAGTCTTAAAACAGGGAATAATACTAGATTTGTATCCCTGTCATGAACAGTTTAAATTGGAGGGAAGCAAGATAATAAGAAAAGATATATTTGAGGCAAAAATCACAGGATATAGGGAAAGGAAGAGAAGAAATAGGAAGAAAAAGAGATGAGAAACAGGGAAAAGGACAAAGGGCTCAAGGCTTTGAAATAACTCTACCAGAGGTCTGGGTCCGCTGACTCGAGGCAGTTTTCAAAAGTGTTGCAGTGGCTGTTCGCACTGCTCCCAGGCTACCTTTATCATTTAAGTTTTGAAGGCTCCATTCTGAATGGACCCAAGAACACACTGCTTCCCCGGAGGAGCCACTTCCGGCCAGGAAACCTGGGTGGTGGCCTGGCCTCTCTGAGCTCCGCTGTGCGCCCTGGAAGCAGAACAGCAGGAGCAGCGCCCTCTGAACCAGGCGGTGAGGATTACAGATGATGCTTGAACTCTGAAAACCTGGTCAGCCACAGTGGATGAAAGGAGCTGCGTTTTCCATCCTTATTGTTCCTTTTCTTAGTATTTTTACCATGCTGAGGCTCAGATGAGACCTTGATAAGCACTTGGCTTTTCTTTCCAGAAGGTAGTTTTTTCAAGAAGGGGGGAATGAAGTTGGATCCCCGGTACCAAAAAAAAAAAAAGGTGGTGGTGGGGAATGAATATGAAAAATTCAAGACTTGGTGTAAGGTTCCTGGAGGTGATGCGGCAGGAAGGCGCTTAATATCTTACATTTTTATACTTAATCAGCTTCTCTTTTGTTCATACCCCCTCTCCTTTCCTTTCCATTTTTTTTTTTTTTTTTTTTTTCTTTTTTCTTCCTCCTTGGGATTTCTACCTGCAGGCACCCAAGTGGACGAGGGGGTCCGCTCAGCCAGCAAGCGCATTGTGGCGCCCCCTGGAGGCCGCTCTAATATCACATCCCTGAGTTAAGCAACCTTTCCCTAAAGGGGAGCAGAAGCAAGAAGAGATTTTTTTGAAGCCAAAATGGTACACCAATATTTAAGAAAGAAAGCAAATCCAAACGGTTGCGGTATAAAGAATCAATAAGCCTCAAGCCTTATGTTTCTCCATGTTAAGCTCGCTTGCCTAGCTTTACGAATATTGCTTTGTTTTCTGTTTATGCATAGCCTTGATTTGTTGGACCCTCTCCCCCATTTACATGCATGCAATCAGACAGGCCGCTAAGGTGAAAGAGTCTGCTATATTATAGTGTTGAGAGCGTGTGTAGTGCTGCATCTTACGACAAGGGGACAGACAAAGCTGGGAGGTCAGGGAAATGAATAAAAGGGACGCAGGTTATTTGGGGCAAGTGGGTGGTGGGAGTGGAGAGCAAGGTGGAAGGCACCGAGGGCGGGGGTAGGGTGTGTGGGAGGGAGGTGGGTGGGCCGGGTGAGCAGGAGGGGTGTTGTGCATTGTGTTGATGATGTATGTTTATTTCCACGGAGGGGCCACTTCCGGCAGCTGTCACTCACTGCGGTCCCTTGGGGTCTGCAGAGAAGTAGGCTAGTCTTTGGGTTCTCGATTTGTCATGTCCCTTCCTAGTAGATTTTGTTTCTTTGAACATTTATTAAAACAACAAAACTCAACCATTTCTTCCACCTGCTTGATTATACCAGTGTTTGTTCGGGCCCATTTCTTGGTGTTGCTTTCAAATCCTCCTCATTCTTGGCAGGCAGGCCAGATAGGGAGGAGCAAATGACTCATCTTTCCCTCTCATCCTGTCTGCCTCTGTGGTGCTCTTAAAAGGCAACGACTGAGGATGAAGCACAGGCTCTGGTGTGGAGAGCAGCAGAAGCCATGATGCCCCTCCCTCTGACCAAGGCTGAGGAGGCCCTGGCATCTTTGGTAGGGCTTCAGCTCAGATGGGTAGAATGAAGGGCCTCTGTTGCCAATGGTGGGTGCAGATTCTCCTGATCTCCTCAGATCCAGGCACATCAATGACTGCATAGGATTTTTAATCAATTTTTTTTAGTTCTCTAACTTTTCCTGCTAATAGGCAGTCTCAGTTTATATGGCAGTCAACTCAGGATTTGGGAAAGTCAGTCCTAAGCAGAGAAATCACTCTAAGCTTTGTTCACTTTCTCAGTTCTAAGCCATCTGTTTCCGCTTTCACTGGCAGATCCTTGGGGGGGACCTCTGCTTTGGTACTAAAATCCCAGAGTGAGTCCCAGTGACAGGACATGACATCCTGAGAGGTGGTGAAGGAGGTTAGTGGAGTGTTGGCATCTCCCTTGTCTGTCAGAGCTGAGTGTCCATTTCCTTATCAGGTCGCTTCTGCACACTCAAGTTTTGGAGCAGATTCTGTGAGTGAGACAAGGAGTGGAGGGTAGAACAGAGACACCTCACCAGGAAAAATACCTTAAGCCGCTGGTCAGACTTCTGTGCCCTGGGGAAACCCAGCTGATAGAAGCCATAAACCTGTGTACTAAGTACTTTGAAGAGAAGAGCAGGCCTCACACACCTTTTAAGTGCTTAGGAGGAAGCACTGTCCCTGGCTGCAGTTGTTTTTGTTGTTTTGTTTATGGTGCTGGGGATTAAACCCAGGGCCTCACATATGCTAGGCAAACCCTCTGCCACCCCAGCCCTGACTGTAGGTTTTAATAAACTAAAGATTGGAGAAAAGTGATCACTTAGCTGCAAAAAATTTAGAAATAGCTAAGAAAGAGCGTTTTTCATAGCAAGCTACTTTCTGTTCTAATCATGAAAAAGGCTTTCACCTCCTAAAAGGGAATCTTGCTATCTTAAGGCTCTCATGGTGCTTTTATTTTAAGGAAAACCTCAGTAAAAAGGAAAAAAATTAGCTTTAATTTACAATTCAAGTATTTGAGAGCCTACCAAGGAATTCAGAATGACTTTTATATATGAAGGGAGTATGCCAGATATATATATATACCTCAGTAGCCAGGCTGGGCTTTAGATAGATTGCAATACCAGCCATGGCCACCAGATGGAGGAAGAGACACGTAAAGAAACTAGTGCCGGCATCCACTTTTGCATCTTGGGGGAGCCTGACTCATCCCTTCCTGGGCTCGAAGATAAATCTTCGAAGGGCCAATTGGTTATCTGCAGTGCACTTGGGGCTTCCAAAATGCAGCATTCAACCAGAACTTTCTGTCCTGCATGAGCTTTCTATGCTACCAGGATAACCTCCAAGTGCCCTCAGGATGGGCAACACTATCTTGGGAAGCCTCCCTTCCTTCACTCTCCATTAAAACATTTGAGCATAGAGATCCTTGAGGATTCCTAGAAAATGCCCCACTATTTTCTCAACATGAGTACTGAGTAACATGTTAAGTTAAAATTTATACTCCAGTTTGTTCTGTTCCATAGACCTGTGGAACAGCCCTTTGCAAGGGCTTAGGAGTAGAAAACGATGTGGCCCTCTCCTTCTGACCTGCCAGCCTCTCCCCCAGGCTCAGGAGGGCGCCCTGGGTCTTCTCTCTCCCTCCTCAGCGGGTGTTGGCTGGCTCCTCTCCTAGCCTGGCTCCTCTCTGAGGATGGCCCTGCCACCCTGCAACTTTCTTACCTTCTCATTCTGCGGAGTGCTTTGGTGAGGGGCCATGCGGTGGGTGAGTAGTTGAGAATTAATCTGTGGAACTGCTAACCAGCGATTTCTTATTTTCAAAAACTAGTACGATTATAGTCATCAAATACAGCCTCAAATAGCTTTTTCTTTCAAAGTCCACTCGGACTGTAGCGTTGTTCTCCATGGCTGTACCCGGAAAGGCATTCTCTTCTCCCAAGTCCTGAAGCTGAGCCTGGACCCTTGCTGTTCATCCTGAGACGCCCCTTCCAACAGGGTGGACACTTCCCAACTTTGCTTCCTGCCGCAGCCTCCTAGGCCCTGACCCCTAGATGACCCCAGCTTGAGTCCCAGTGCACTCACGAGCTGTCTGGGCACCAGTGTCCTCTCAAGTTTCCCCTTTGAGCAGTGGTGTGTGGGTGTCCGTTCTGTGTCTGGTGGATATGAACAGACAGTAAACCTCCCCATGATCTGTGCTAGCTGTGAGGCCGCTCGCAAACACAGAGCTGTTTGGTTTGAACCATGAGGAAAACTGTGTATTGAGTTAGCTGAGATTAAAGAAAAAACGTTCCTCAAGTGACTGTTAATGTAAACTCGGTTATTAAAATGACTATAAAATTATCAGCCCTGTTCCCCCGTCTCTGTGTGTTATGTGCTGTTTCACCTACTGTGTCAAAATTGCACAATAAGACAAAAATAGTGAGAGGGGCACGTCTGGGGACAGCGGAGTCATTTGGACAAGATGTCTTGCCGTTTTTATTTTTTAGCTGAGGCCACAGAGTTTGATAACCATTATTGAAACATTGGGAAATGATTAGGATTTTCCTATGAATCATCAAATTTAGTACCAATATAGAAGGCCTTACCATTTGCAATAAATCTAGTTAAGTCCAGGAGAGAACCAAAATATTTTTTTTTATCATCACGTAAAGCTTTGCTATCAGTTTGCTTTGTAAACATGTTCTTCTTCTTTCTAAAAGTCTAGACTTGGGCAAAAAACTCCAACTAAATATATGCCAAAGTAGCAAACTTATATCAAGGAGTCAAATGAATGTTCAAAACAAAATCGCTTGCTATGTCTGCTCCTCTGAGAGCTTTAAGGTGCACATCAGCAAACTGAAGGCTCTGAGAAATCTTGTAATAAAAGTCTTTTAAACTCTAAAATACCACTGAACCCAGTATTAATTTGTACAGGCCATTTTTTTCACTGGAAAGGTAAGACTAGTGTATGGGGATGGGGATGAGAATTGGAAGGAGGAATATTCATCATTTATTTATTCATTTTGTTACCCGGGATCTATCTCAGGACCTTGCTCTTGCAAGGCAGGCAGCGGCACCACTGAGCTAAATCCCCTGCCCAAGGCATTTTTAAATCTAGTGCAACTGGGAAGCTCAGGAATGGATTCGGGCAGACTGTAGCCTAGCTAGATGGCAGTGTTGAGCCCTGCTGTCAGAAGGCTACTTTCCACCTCAGCCCTGCTGGCCTTGGTTCCTTCTTACATTTCCATTTCACCTGCTTATGAACCTCAAAGGAAGGAGAGGGATTTCCTTAGTCTTAGTTCCAGTCAGAGATGGACTCTGACTATTCATTTGTCCACCATGAACTGGTCACGGAGTGACCAAATTGAGTTGGACACACCAAGTCACAGGCTCAGCCCTTGGGCCACCTGAGCTGAGAACTGCATGGACTCAATGACTCTACAAAGAAAGGTGTGAACCAGAAGAAGGAATGGATGCTGGGAAGGCAGAGGCAGCAACAGCTGTGGCACCATTCTTAGGCCTGTGAGCATGACTGCGTAGCCCGGTGACAGGTCTGTGCATAGGCTAGGGCAGGCGGAGAAGGAACGAGAGCCCAGGGGAGGGCAACTTCTAATTAGTAGCCCTTACATGTGATGAATCCCTCTTGGTTTGCTAGAACAGTGCCTTTGATACAGGAGCTAAGTGAGGATACCTTTTAACACACAAACTCAGAAACCAGATAAATGCTACTCCGGGCACATAGAGAATTGTTTTACAATTGAGGTTCCAGGTTCTATTCATAAAAAGCTTTGGTTCATAGTCTCATGTTATGGCTCAAACTTGAGGCTGTTGAAACACCTCTTCCTGATCATGACCAGGAACACTGAGGTCTCCCAAGGATTCGAGAGGGCTTAAAGGGAGAAGTCAGCACTTACAGTGAACTCAGCATGGAAAAGGGAAGAAGTGATATTTAAAAAATATTAGTGAAGGATACACCAACTTTCATACCTCTCTAGGCTGGAGGTCAGTGGCTGAGTCACTTGTGAACAGTGAGGAATGAGATCACTGAATATGAACAAGGGCCCTCTTGGTCCAAAGAACCTTCTGGAATCAGCTCTCCTAACACCAACCCGTCACAAAGGGGCACCGACCATGGTCAGGAAATGGAAGGTGAAAGGGCCAGAGTAACCTACAGAAATGAATCACCGATGAGGTGTAATCAAACTGTATTTTAAAAACGTTAGTAAAAGATACATTGGCATGAATCCCCTTCAGAATACTCCCCCTCATTTTGAACACACATCATCATTCTTGCCACTTTCTGAAATGGATAAGGAAGTTCTCTTTTGTGAGTGTCTTTATGAGGTGTGGTAAAAAATACAGTGGGTAACAAGCTCACAGAAATATTACACTATGCCTTCATTTTATTCACTGGCTCTGACTGATTTGGGCACTGTTCGACTTCGGCTCTTCCCCAGAGTCAAAATGACCATGAAAAAGTAAATGGTCTCAACCAGTTCAGGATATCAAGGCAGGCAGGACAGCACAACTGAAGACACTTATGAAAGAAGACTTCTAGAATTGCTTAAGTGGCAAGAATGATGAGACAAGTGTATTTGAAGTGAGGTGGAGTATTTTGAAGAGAATTAATGGAAATTTCACATTCACTGTATTTTTCAATCATTCTCATAGTTAAGGCTGGGACTCTCCAGGCTCTAAAGAGTTCTAGACCCTGGCCTTCACTCAGCTGGCATCTGAGAACACAACAGGACACTTACAGGACCAGACAACAGAGTACTCCGTGTGCAGGACTTTGAGGCCCACAAGAATCACAGGAGCCTACTTACTCCAAGAAGAGCCTGGGGAGCCAGTGGTTTGCTGGCTGCTGAGCTGTGTGCACCTGACATGTCAGCTGAAAGCTCCTTTTGTTCTCTCCTGAGGCAGAAGCTGCTTCTAGCAGCAAGAGTTACCAGTTTTCTGTATCTGCCCATCCCAGACTATGGGCCTTGGAACATCTGCTGCTGTGATGTATGAAATAAGATGGGACCCGGAGGAGGAAGGTACTGAACAAGGAGGTTCATGGGCTGTCCATGAACTTGAGGTCACAGTGACAGGCAGAAAGTGGATTCCAGGCTGTGTTCCCTGCAGTGTGAATGCTAGAGGGTCAGGGGTTTCAGTTTTTATATAGGTTGGGAGGTAAGAAGTGCTGCATTCCAGCACTACAGAATACCATTTCTGACACCACCGTGTCTCTGCTAAGGGACATTCACTACTGGTTATTAAAGTAAGAACAGATGATCTTGGGACCCTCAACAGTACCTCTAGGGAAACACATAATATAGACACACAGCTGACAAAGGTCAGTGGCTTCATGTTGCAGAAGACATTTAATACACACAGGCACACTTCCATTACAGGCGCTACAGCTGGACAGAAGTACATTCTCATTCGGGAGCTGCCAGATCAGCTGCCAGTTTACAACAGCATACAAAAGTGAAGTTTGGGTTCTTAACATCACTGTTTAACATTATCCAGACACACGGTGCTTATAATAAACAGTAATCACGGGGACAGAAGTAGGAGACAGGATTTTGTGTAGACAATACAGGGACAGCTGGGTACTGAAACAAATGCACAGTGCTTCTCATGCCTTTTCATTCAGCCTTTGAAGCACTAAAGCTTTAGCATCACTAATCAGCCACAAGCAGCAACACTGGTCCATTAATAGCTGCATTAATACTCTTTCTTGCTAGTTATTGATTCATCCAATCTAGGAAAGCTATAATGATAGGAAATGTCATTTCTGGTTAAAATTCTATTAGACAAAGCCTAACCAGTAATTAATTAGATTATTATAATTGATTTAGTGGTGCTCTGTGCTGCTTGAAGTTTATTCCTGCCCCAGCAGTGACCTCAGCCTGATCCAGGCCGCCTTGGTGGGTGTGTGATCCATTAGCACATCTCCCTCCATGGCATTAGGACCTCCACTGGGGTCCTGGGGCTCTGCTCCCCCTAATCTTCTCGAGGTCACTGAATGCATGGGAAGTGAGGCTTTGCTGCAGTGCCAGAGGGACGCTCCGATCTTCAGAGCTTGGTCACGCTTTTCAGATGCTCTGTGCAGATAAGGGAGGAAGCTGTTCCGAAAAGATTCCAGGAGAGCAGACAAAAGAATCGAACTTGCCATCCTTTCTTTCAAAATTCTCAGCTCTGAGTATCATCAGGAATCCAGAGGAGAGATGTTCCATGCAGTGGGCTATTAACTTTCAGCCCAAGTTATGGAATAAAACCAAAGAACCTGATTTCAACAGCAACCAGCATAAAGATTTAGGAGGTTTTTTGTTTGTTTGTGGAAAGTTTTTCTTTCTCATCTTTAAAATGCACAGGTGCTTGGAATTACTTATTCTGGCTATGAGTGCTTTTCTTTTCTTTTCTTTTTGTCATCTTTGTTTTTTTGTGGTGCTGGGGGTCAAACTCAGGTCCTCATGCATGCTAAGTACCCACTCCACCACTGGGATACAGACCCAGCCCACTGCTTTTCCTTTGTGGCTGTCATCTGAGGAGCCCGGGGAGCCCATTCTACTCCCCAAACACTGCTCTCTAATCATTGAGTCCATGGTTCTGAAAATCTGCCATGGTGTTTCAGGCATTGAAATCAGCTCACTGGTAATAAAACAAAGGATTCAAAATACAGAGATTGTGTGGGCTTCTATCCCAAGTTAAACGGTACAAACATGAAACAGCACAGACCATCGTGGAGAATAGTGGTCCCAGTGCCCTTTGGTAAACATTTCTGAAAACCTCTTGAGGATGCACACAAGGTCTTCACAAGAGGAAGAACCAGGTGACAGGGTACTAGAGTCCACAGCACATGAAGGTTTGAAAAAGACCAAAGGAAGATGGAAGCCGGCAACCATGCAGGCTGGTGGGATTACCAGTCTGGAACTGAGTTTGGTCACCTTTCCTTTGCTTAACCCAACCTCCTCTCTACAAGTCAATCCGAGCAAGTGCTTGGAGCTTATAATTATATTTGGGGGAAAAAATGGCACAGACAAATAACATGTGGGAACTGTAGAGAAAAGGGATCACACACACAAAAGAGCTGGCTTTCGGTTTTGTGCTTTTTGTTTTGTTTTTTTAACAAAAATATGGTTGCTCTTAAATCAGAGATATTATTTCATAAGTGGGCCAGAAATTCTGGGCCTATTAACTCATAAATGCTGATCTTCAGCTCACCTCTAGCTTTCACCCATGTTTAGTTGCCCGGATGTGACCTCCCTCTAAAGTGTCTGCTGTAGCAGGCAGGCAGCCATCACCCTTTCTCATCTCTTTCGCCCCATCTGGCTTTTCAAGAGGAGACATTCTCTGTTGCTGACTTACTGTAGTCCTGGAGGCCCAATCTCTCCATTGGAAAGGACAGGTCTAGACGACCTTTAGCCAAGAGGTTAACACAGCCCTCCTCAAAGCCTGTTCTCTTTTCGACTCCACCCAGTGTCATTATGAGGTGCCGAAAATGGTACTTCTGTGAAGATCTTTGTGTTAGTACAGTGAAGTTCTATCATATGTACAATTAGGTCAGTTAAACTTTGCAAATAAATAAATACAATATAAAGAAAAAGAGAGACTAATATTTTAAAAAGGCAATTCTGCCTGCCATTCTTGCAATAAGCGTGAGGAAAGGAGACATGGCAGCACTGTCCCTTAGACTCTGTGAAACTGACCTCACAGACATGAGTAACCTGTGTTCTAAGTGTACTTCTAGTCCGTAAAGACAGGGATGACTTGCTCAGTATTCTAGTTTGCCGTATTACTCAAAATGTAATCAAAAATAAAGAATAAAACAAAAGCAGTGCCTTCTTTCCTTATGGAAGAGCAACTCCCTGTGCGAGGCTTCACTGAGAAAAACTACTTCCTACATGTTACGGTTAACTGAGGGATTTTTCCAAGGGTAAGTTTTACTTTCTGGCAAATTCACTTCTAACCCCCAATATAATCTCCATCCCTGCAATTTCCCTGAACTAGGGAGTAAACATATTGTCAGTGGGGCAATATTTTCCAATCCTCTCCAGATGCAGATCTCTGCTACTTTTCAGAGGACACTCTACCCTCAAAGGTCATGCACACTGGAGGAAGGCAAGTGGGGTGCTGATATTAACAATTAGCTCACGAAAGGAAAACAAAAGTTGCCCTGATTTGTAGTATTTGCTGATTTCCATGCTGAGAATCCTGTCATTATCACCAAGTTCAGGTTACTGATCTCACCCCACTGAAGAGGAGCCTGAGAAGCCGTGTTCAGGATGGAAAGTCTCCCCAGCACAGCACCGAAGGTCCTATAAATCTATGCTGCTTCTAATCTGACCCTATGTCTTTCTTTCCAATGAAACTCTTCATTCCTACCTTATCGGGCTTTGGGATTTTGACCTCTTTATGATGTTTCCTAGTTCTGAAGAGGCTTACTGTGTACAATGTCCATTCATCACAGTGTAATCAGAAGGAATGGAAAAATAAATCTACATCCAAATATTTCTTTTAAAATACAAAGGCCATGTAGAATAGCAACTGTAGCAGTAAAAAGGCAAGGTACAGCTCAGCTGATATGACCTTCTCTTTCTGGATGAATAAACTAAAGCGCAAAAAGGGATTAAATGACTTGCTCAACATCACATAATTAATGGTGAAATTACATCCCAGTGTCTCTTCACTAGATCGTGCTGCATCCTTCGGAGGACGCTCCTTCACATTTCTAAGCATGAGGTGTGGAGTGGCAAAAATTACTTTCAGTTCTTCTTTGTGTGGACAATCAGAAGTTTCTGGCCTGAGGTGCTAAGAGATGTCGGAGGAGACACTGAGGCCTTTACAAGTTGTTATTTTGGCTGTCTTCTTCGTGTGGGTTTTTGGTTTGTTCCAAGGCTAGATTTGCTTGTCTTTCATTCAAGTCTCTTTTTACTCTTAAAAGAAAAAAAAAAGTTTTATTCTTTGAGAAGAAAAATGAAAACCTTAAACTTTTTTGAAATGTTAGCATATATGCAACAATTTATAAACAGGTACGAGCCAAGGAAACCTTAAAAAAGTCATTCATTGTAAATGTGTATATCCTACCTTTTGCCTTTCCCATAGACAACAACTTGATGCTAGGCTAATTAATCTACTAAAAAGAATTTAAATCCCTTACAAGAAAAAAGAAGGCTTCCTGAATTTGAAAAGAAAAACTTTATATTTAGATATGTATCATTTGTGTGACTGTAAAAATAAAAATGTTTAGAAACAATTAAATCCCTGCAAATGTATTAAATCCCCAAAGCTCCATCATTTTCCAAGCTACTGGTCTCATAGGACTGACTTACTTTTCTCGGTTGAAAATTATAAATTCCTTCTGGACAGATTCAAGATGTTCTTGAAGAAGACCCATCTTCACAAGGTGAACAGTGGAGAAAATAGAAGAACAGTTAACAGGTGAGTGAGGATTCTCAAACAGTCAATAATCTGCAGATTGTCTATTGAAAGAATCACCCTAAGTAAATGCCAAAGTAGCTTTCAAAATGGAAATTAAATGAAGTTCCTAGGAAGGTGGCAGAGTAGGAAGCTCTCCACTTATCCAACAAGATGCCCTGGTAAATCTATCTCACATAACTAGTTTGGAACTCAGGCTTGTACTCCTTCCATTGCGAAGGCATGGGTGACAAAGCACAGTTCTTTCTAGAAATTTCAGCTCTGGGCATGGTACCAGCTACCCTTCCCCCTCCAAGCTCTTTGCAGGGTGCTGTTCTAGAGCAGCCTGCACACAGCTTGCTGCAGCCATGGTGGGAAATGAGGACCATGTCCTCCAAACTGAGCTGTCTGCTGCTCCCTGACTGCTGTTTCTAGTCACAGAGGCACAGACAACAGGGCTGGTGATGGCCTGCTGTGGCCCCTCATTGTCACAGGCCCCTCCACACCTGGCAGAAGCAGGGTGCCAGGGTGATTGTCCTACAGAGAAGGCAGCCTCCCGCGGTGCCCCTCACCCTGAGTTTGGTGGTCACTGACTTACCTGAGAGGAATCACATTTCCTCATCTCCTTCTCCTTCTTTGCCAAACGTTTCTTTTTTTTATGAAGAGGTTTGGATTCCAAAATCATTTCTTCCAGTTCAAAGGTAGGGTCACAATTCAGCCTGCCTTTCTGCAAGGAAAAGGGGTTGGCTCAGTCTTTGGATTCCTGTGTCCTTCTAAAAACACACCAGGTCTGACCTGGAGTCTAACACTTGGTCTTAACGAAGCAGTCTAAAGGTAACAGGCTTGGATTCCCACTCTAAGTTCCTACTGCTTATTCCCAGCATGATTTTTTCATATTCTTTGCTTTTACATTTTGTTTATTGTTTTTAAACTTACAATTAGCTCTCGGTACATAAGAAAGGAAAACTAAATTATTTTTCTGAAGTTTGAGCTGTTGAGTTTCTCAAAGTTTGTTCTAATGACCATTGCTGGTTCAGCTTCACAGGTCTCAAAACAGACTTCTGAAATCAAGATTTCTAATCAGGAGTCCAAGGAACTGCCCTTTAATAAGCTCCCCAGATAGTAAAGCCAGAGACCCACAATGCAGAGCTTCTCTCAGGGGGATGTGCAGACAAACAGAGGGAGCAGAAGCACGAGTAGGGTACCTAGACCCCCACGGAGTCAGGCATCCACCTGGGTACAGGCGGCCACTGCTGGGTGCCAGAACACGGACCAGGAAGAACTCTGTCTCTTTCCCGGTGCTCTACCCTTAGAACTGTTTTCTCCCTTACTTTGCACTTCTACCCCTAGCCTGCCCTGGGCAGCTGTTTCCAGGAACAATCACACTCTCACACACCCACAGCAAGCGCCTCCCTAAGGGGATGTTATTCCTCCGTATTCTCCCAATTATGCATTTCTTAAGCTGAATGTGTAATTCAGTCCCAGGCTGAGAGACAGAAGGAATGAGAAGCCTCACGAGGGCCCCTTGAACTAGGCTTTCACCAGCAATGTGCACTGAGAAAAAGATGTCCCTTGGCTCCGGTGCTCTGTGGGAATTATTTTTTAGTGATTAGTCCTTTAATTTGTAGATCCGTGACAGAAAACCAGCAACGGGCCAGGTGTGGTGGTGCATGCTTGTAATCCTAGCACTCTGGGAGGATCACAAATTCAAGCCCTTGGACAACTCAGAGAGACTCTGTTTCAAAATAGAAAATATAAATTTCACTGGGACCATGGCTCAGAATGATGGCCCTGGGTTCAATCCCCAGTATCAAACAAGCAAAAACCAAAAACTAGCAAAGGAAGAAGGGTGAATGGTGAAAATTCATTTCTCACTCTAACCTCAATAGTCTTTAGTTCTATGACTCACAGACTCTTATGTGCACAAATTACTAAATCTTTGGAATTGGAGAACATGTTTTTCAACCAGCAGATTCATAGAAAACAGTATTTGGGAGATGAGATCTTCTTTCCAACAAAAACACAGCACAAAATATTTTCAGGACCTTTAGATCCAACTCCAATTGTACCTAGATTACCCTGGCCACTGATCTACTTATCCCATGTGTGCCTTGGTTTCCTCATCTGTAAAACAGGAATTTGGGCTTTTTTTTACAACACTTGTGTGATTAATGAGACAATGTATAGATCAAGCACACAGAGTAACATGCTCCAAATGAGATTATGATAGGTGTGTTAGGATTGACTCACATTAGGAATAAAACCTGGAATGAGCTTCTTCTCAAAAACTGCATCCCAGTTCATATCGTTCATGTATGGGAAGTTCTGAATGTCACTCAAGCAAGAAAACCGTTGGTCCGGATTAGGTTCAAGTAGCTGCCAATGGAATGCAGACATCAAGGTAGGGAGAAAAGTCACAATTTAGGGGGACAAAAAATCCCACAAATTCCCTCTAAGTGTTTTCAATGTAGGACTGAAATCTTCTCTGACCTCATTTGCAAATAATGTGCATTAACAGCTGATTAGAACAGATATAATTTGTCCTACTGAATCAAATATATCTTCAATTCCTGGATCTCCTTCCTATGATCAAGTTTGTTCTCAAAAGTTCAATTTACCAATCTAAAAAAGAAATAAAAACTTATTTCAGGGCCAGGGATTTAGCTCAGTGGTTCCAGCACCTGCCTCGCAAGCACAAGGTCCCGAGTTCGATCCCTGGTACCAAAAAAAGAAACTTAAAAAAAAAAAGAAAGAAAGAAAACTTATTTCATAAGGTTGTAACCAGGATTCAGTGAGGCCCTGGATGTAAAGAGCTTTATAGAGTGTACAGGCATGTTAGGAGGTAAACGTTCTTATATTTTCACAAGGGAAACTGATCCTCTCTAAAAATTTTAGCAGTTTTTACAGCTAATTAAAATACATTGGAGGTAGCACAGATAAGATATAACTTACTACAGTTACTGTTTGTTCTTTACTAATAGATTTAAGATTTTTCCCTATTAGCCACTCCACAGCCAACATCACATCTAGGGTACAGCTCCAGTGGGAAATGCCAGTCCCACTTGAGAACGCCCTTGAAAAGACAATCATGGAATATCAAGGTGTAATTTTGGGGTGAATCAGGGTTGTCTAGAACTGGAGATGTATTTGCTTGTGGAGGCCTATTCTTCATCATTGACATTACTAATGACAGTGTCCCTATCCCAAAACAGTGAACTTGGCCCCAAAGACAAGAGGCACAGATTTTGAACACTTAGCCTCCAAAGCTCTTTTCCTTTACCAGCTGCAACCTAGGGAATTTTCTCTCCTTAGGGGAAAATAAATGAAACAAGAAAACCAACCAACAAAAAAACCTCAGCCCATTCTCTTGGGCTCTTTATACTTTGTTTTGATTTATTGTTAAAGATAAACTAGTGAGCTTCTACTATAATTGGTTTAGGCCATTTGGTGAACATGGGCATCACAAAAATCTCATAAAAAGTATGACCCTCATTCTTTCAAATTTTACCACTTGACAGACTCTATTAGATGCTGAGAACTACACGGTACACAGTCAGACATAGTCCCTACCCTCATGTGGCTTACTATAGTATAAATATTAGCTGAAGGATCACAACAATGCTAGGTATGGTTGCAAACCAAGAAAAATACTATGAAGGGAAAGAGTGTTAAGGAACTTATAACAGAGGAAGGCTCCCCAAAGAAGTGATATTTGAGCCAAGAACTGAAGTTGTGCTTCTCAAGCTATGTAGAAAGGCCAGATACTTTTGTGTTTCTAACCCATTCAAACCAACATGTGGTCCTTTTGTGTATGTCTAGTATGCAGCTACACACAGTGCACAAATCATGACTTGAGTTCTAAATCAGCTAAACAAGCTTGAAACCTATTCAATGAGGCAAGTCCATTGACCATGTGATTAGATACTACAGTATTGTTAAATTGCTAGAAATGTTTCCAAATGCTCTCAATTTCTATACTTATATGGACTTTTAAGGAAGAAATTCATGGACTAAGAACCAGTCAACGAGTCTTGTTGAGTAGTACTGACATCAGGGAGGGAGCTAGAGGAGCTAGGGTGAGGTGTTAGTGTTAGCTAGGGTGATAGTGTTCCAGAAACAGATGAGCATGTGCAAAGGTCATGTGGTGGGGGCAGGATGCTATATGAGAGGGAGGAAGAGGAAGAGAAAGAGAAAGGAAGGAAGAAAAAGAAGAAAGTCAAAGGAGTTTGTGTGTAGATAAAGGTTCAAAATAAGGCTTGAGAGGTAGTTAGAACCTTTGTATCATGTAAATTATTTTGGTCTTCATTCTAAGACCAACAGGAAGACACTCTACTCCAGTTGAGGAGAATAGAATGTAATAGCAAATGTATATGAGGACAAACCAGATATAAGACGAGACTTGATGGCAGGTGGGAAGATATTAGTAGGGATAAAGACAGGTGAAAACTCAAAAGATACTTAAAATGTGAAATTCCAGAACTTTAGATATGGAGATGATGAATGAGCCCTGGTTTTGGCTTGCATGAGTAGAGAGATGGAGGGTTTATTCCAAAAGAGAGGACACTGAAAGAAATCCAAGAAATACAAAGAGATTAAGGATTGCATTTTGGACACTGAGTTTGAGAAAGTTTTGAGCCATACAAGTGCACTTGGGGTTGACTTAAGTCATATCTTTGAGAGTCATTAGCTGTTAACAACCGTTCTAGAAATGACATTATAATGACTGACCCAATATTATATATACTGATTTCTACCACTAAAGCAGAACACATGGTCCCTTTTATCACTTCTTGGTGTGCAGTCTTACCTTTTTAAGAAGTGATACCATTTCCTGTGACCAGGCAGAAGGGTAAGTCACAATAGCAGTCTCAAACATGTGCACAATTTCCTTACTGGAAGTACTGGAGCGAATGTGATACGGTCTCTTAAAGGAGAGAAGAAGTAAAGAAGTAAGAGCCTTCATTTTTATAAGGCAAAAGAAAAAGATGGTGCAAATGTTCCCAGGCTAAACTTTCAACCAGTGAAATATGAGTTATGACCATTTTAGCTAAATATTGTTGCCACAGTGCATATGGTCAGCAATGGCAGATATCTCACTTTTAAGAAGATGCCAGAAATCTACAGTTTCTTGTGAAATATCATAACGTTTAGAAGTTGATAATTCCACTGATCCAAACAAAACATTGCAGTGGGCTGACTCAGCTTCTGAGATGCTGATCTGAAGCTGTTTTTAAGGTAATTTATATAAGTATTTATATAAATATTTATAAAACCCTGGTCAAGTGCACAATAAATTGAAGTTTATTTATTTATTTATTGGTACCGGGGATCAAACTTGGGTCCTTGCGCTTGTGCAGCAGGCGGCGAAACCACTGAGCTAAATCCCCAGCCCAGAAGTTTAAAAATTATACAAGAGTTTGTTATAAAGAGATCCAAATTTTTACCATGCCCTCCTTTTCACTTATTTGAAACATGAGGAAGTTCAAGATAGAAAGCTGTTCAGAAAACATCAAGCCCAGTCTCAAATGCTAAGAGTCCCTGGTTCAATGGAAGGTGAGGCAGAGAATTTTATAATGAAGCAAAAACTTTAAAAAAAATTCTGGAAGAAGCAAGTTTCATCTGTAGTTTTAATTTGGGGGAATTCTTGCAGTTTTCACAGCTGTCCATTAGAGGGCAGCCTACATGGATAGTATCTTTAAATGACTGACAGGATTTTATGTCTTTATGTGAACTCTAAGCAATGAATAGCCAGGAAGTTTGTCATCTTCATATTCTTGTCAATGGGACCTATCACCTAATAGGTATTCTATATGTATTTTTGAATGAATAAATTTCCTATATTGGATTCACCATAGGACACAATATGAATACGTACATTTGTCACATGTCTGGCCCTTTCCAGATGTTTAACAAATGATCACTGACTGATGAGCTAAATTGAGGCAAAGGAAAGGTTATACATTTTCCTCATAATAAATAAGTATTAAGAGTTAATGCAACCAAATATTTGAGCTCTGAAGGCAGAAGGAGCTGAGTGCCAAATGCAGCCACTCAATTTCTGAGCTTCAGTTTCTTTATTTGTAAGAAGCAAGTTACTTCATCTGTAAAATGAACAACAAGATAAGATTGCTGGGAAAATTAGAGAGGTTCTCAATGGAGTGTCTAGCACCTATTAGAAACAGTACAGCAGGGTTGTTTTTATTGTTAGACACAAGTGTAGAACAGGCAGATATAAATGTGAGTAGTGGTCAACAGGATTAGTCTTCAATAATGGTGATGGCTCAATTTTATACATGAAAAATCAATGTTGGTTACTGAGGTAATCATAAAGTACAAGGCAGTAACCCTTAAAAGGAAGATTAGGTCAAACTTTTCATTCTTTTTAAGTAAGGTTTAAAAGCAAGTGTCATAGTTTGGTAATGATGTAGGGGAAAGAGACCATCAGCTCAATGTCAGACAGTTCTAGAGGCGTTATGGCCATTACCAAAGCGTGTTTTTATTAGCCAGAGGACACTAGTTACTTCACAATATTCTTTCCACATGTACCAATGAGAGTTGAGTAAGGCTTAGCCTACTTGAGCTTCTAGGATTTTATGCCTATGATGTGTATTTTTTCTTTTTTTTGTAAGTTTCTTCTTTATTTCATGTGGCTGTTGTTTCTAAACTTATTGTCTCTGCCCTCTAGAAGCAAAATAATTTGATAAACTTGAATGAATTAGCCGATGAATGCCACAAGAAAGAAGCTTAAGAGTGTGTGGTTTTCTTTATTTACTTTAGAAGGCCATGTGAGTGAATTTAACATTTTTGCTGAAGGGATATTTTTTCATTTATTTAGATAGTTACCTTAACAATATTTGTAGTTTTCATTCAATGTATAAGTCTGATACTTCTTATGTTAAATATATTTTTTAGTTTTCTTGATATCATTATATCATTATTTTTTGTTTTTATTTTTTATTAGCACAGATTTGAATTACATAAAGATTACATTCATCTTTATGGCCTGTCAGTTCCTTATTAAAATAATCAATCTGTCTTTAGCTTACTTATTAACTTACTTTTCTAGTTCTAAATTTAAAAATTCACTTTATTTCATCAAATGCCATAATTATACATTTATTCATTCACCAATTACTTAGTGAGTGCCTACTATGTCCCAGCACCTCTGCTCTGCTCTGGGGATACAATGAAGAATAAAACAACATGGTTTCTATGTTAATGGAGTCTAAAGTCTAAATAAGGAAGCATAGATACTTAAATAACAGTACACACATAAACATGCATTTAAAAATGAGATACAAGGTTCAATGTAAAGTTACAGTATCTAACAGAATATATAAAACAACTCTAATGCAACATATAAATTGAAAGTAGAGACTATAAAGAATGAACAGGAAGAAAGAAAGGATGTGTTATGATTATACTTCCATTTCAGGAGTACAAAAGCCAAAGAGTTGCAGCTAAGGATGTAAGATTTTAGTGCAAAAGTACACAGGTATCTATCTTAAATTAGTACTTATGGATAAAACTACTAAAGACACGAACCTTTGCCCTTGCAGGGCAACAGGTACTGCGAGACTGAGAGACAATAAGGCAAGCTAATAGTTAAGGAACATATTCATGAAGACTGCGATCAGGCTTAGAAACTGCCAGGATGTTTTCAAGATCTGTTGTGAACCACTACAGGCTACATAGGGAGTCAGGAGGAAGTTATCTGAGAAAATAACTTGAAGATGAGGTGAGGAATAACTTGAGGATGAAGTGTTTCTACTTTTAGGTAAATGATGTGATTCTTTTTGCTTTTTGTCTTTATAAACATCAATATAATACCCTTACCCTCATTAGATGTCTTTAAAAAATAGGACAAAGTTGATCAGAAGCAGATAATGCCTGTTCTGCTCATGGAAAAACTATGTATCTGGCTTACAGGGAGAGTCCTCTTCTATTAACATGAATTACTTATCAAAATTTGAATATGCTTCACAAGTAGTGTTATGATGCTCTCCTCAGGGAAGTAGGGGAGTAAAAACAATGAACAAATTAGTGCAGAGGTGTGAAATGAACTCTGTAGAGCACACGAAACAGATACAATGATGAGACCCTCCTTTGGTTACTGTGTAAGCACTTACCTTGGTTCCCTGAGCAAAATGAGCACTGAACCATGATGACACCCCCATTACGTGAGCACACAGTGAGAAGGCAGTCGTCTGCAAGGCAAGAAGAAAGCCTCACCAGATCCTGACCTGGTTCTCACCCTAACCTCAGTCTTCCAGCTTCCATGCTTGAGATAACAAATTTCTTTTGTTTAATCCCTCAATGGATTTAGAAGAACTGATAATAGACTATAGTGTGTGTGTTTAAATTTAAAGTTTTTGAAATCTATGCTTCGTTCTTGGGTAGGAAGAACCAATATAGTGAAAATGGCCATACTTCCAAAATTGTTACAGAGATTTAATACAATCTCGATCAAAATACCAATAGCATACCTCACAGAATTACAGAAAACAATCCTAAAATTCATCTGGAACCAGAAGAGACCTAGAATATCAAAAAAATTCTGGGCAACAAAGACAAGACAGGGGGCATCACAATCCCTGATTTGAAATTTTACTACAAAGCTACTGTGATATAAACTTCATGCTACTGGAAAAAACAACACAACAACAACAAACAGACCCAAGGATCAATGGAACAGAATAGAAGATGCATAAATAACTCCAAACACATTCAGCCACCTTATGTTTAACAAAGTGGCCAAATACCTTCACTAGAAGAAAGCCTATTTAATAAACAGTGCTGGAAAAACTGGCTTTCCACGTGTTGAAGATCAAAACTAGATCCATATTTGACCCCATGCACTAAGGCAAAATTGAAATGGATTGAAGATCTAAACATTAAAAACAGAAACACTAAATCTGCTGGAAGATAGAATAGGTAGAACACTTTAAGTCATAAAGTCAAAAGACTTTATGAACAAAACCCCAATTGCAGGGAAATATCACAAAGAATCAACAACTGGGATCTCATCTTATTAAAAAGCTTTTGCACAGCAGAAGAAACCACCAGTAGAGTGAAAAGACAACCCACAGTATGGGAAAATTTTTTTTCCAGCTGTTCCTCAAAGTCCTAACATCTAGAATATATAAAGAATTCAAAAAAATCAGACTTCCCAAATTTAAAGAAAGTGGGCATCTGAGATGAATACACACTTCTCAGATGAAGTAGAAATGGAAAATAAATACATGAAAAAATGTGCATCATGACTGGCCATCTGAGAAATGCAAATTAAAACAATACTGAGACTCCACCTCACTCCAGTAAGAATGGCTGTTACCAAGAAATCAACCAACAACAAATGCTGACGGAGGTGTGGGGAAAAGGAACCCTTCTCCACTGCTGGTGGGAGTGTAGACTGGTGCAACCATGGTGGAAATCAGTGTGGAGATTCCTCAAAAAACTAGAACTAAAGGTTCCATGTGACCAGCTGTTCCCCTGCTGGGTATCTTCCCAAAAGAATTAAAAGCATCATATCACAGTGATATATGCACACTCGTGTTTATAGCAGCACATTTTGTTATAGGTAAAGCCCAAATGCCCATCAGCCAATGAGTGGGTAAAGAAGATGTAGGTTTTTAAAATATATAATGGAGTACTACTCTGACATAAAGAAGGATAAACTTGAGACATTTCTAGGTAAATGGATGCACCTTGAGACCATACTCTTAAGTGAAATACATCAGACATACATTTAAATATCTCATTGTTTCTTTGATGTGAGAAACTGAAAGGGTAAATAAGGACCAAAATGTATAATAGATTTTGTGAAATAGGAATAAAATGTTCAAATGGGAAGGGGAACTAGGAAAGGAGGAGAAAAGGAAGGAAAGGAAAAGAAAAAGAATAGAAGGAAAAAATGGAAACCAAGCTTTTGTAAATAAGGAGGAGAAGAGGAGTTAAAGGGAGGGGAGGGTAATGGGAAAAAAAGAATTAAGATATACGTACAAGTACAAATTCCCTATGATGAATGTTATCATTCTGTATATCTAAAATGTACAAATAAAATTAAAAATAAATCTTTTTATTATAGTAAAAGACATATTGCCATTAATACCCTCAGAATACTCCCCATTGTTTTCAACACAATTATCCCCCCATTTCTGCCACTTTCTGAAGCAGTTCTGCAAGTCCACTTTTGCGAGTACACTTACAAGGTGTGATCAAAAATAAGGTGAAGATTGATGCTAAGTGCCACCCAATAGAAATGCAGGCTCATAAAAACATTACAGTGTGTTCTCACCTACCTTACTGATCAGATCTGGAACCAGGTGACTTTTAGCTCTTCCCTAAGGTTAAAATGACCATGAAAGGTAAATGTTTTAAATTGAATCAGGACTTTAAGGTAGTCAGGACAGTACAAATAAAGATACTCTTGAAAGAGGACTTGTAGATCTACTCCAGAAAGTGGCAAGAATGATGGGATAAGTGTGTTCAAGGCAAAGGAAAGTATTTTAAAATGATTAATGGCAACATTGTAATAATTATTTTTAATTATTTACTGTAATAATTATTTTAAAATTTAAACATTCATTTTTGTTTGTGATTGTGCCTCATGTTTTACTAAGGCATCCTTAGTTGACTTAAAAGATTCTGGGGACTGAGCAGTGGGGTGCTTCTATAACTATCTAAAGATACGATCAACTGGAGATGGTAATAGGGTACCAGTTAGAAGTGTTCTGAAATGCACATTATAAATACAGATGTTACATGTAACTGTCAGATCTCAGAAATGAGGAACATGTTATTGGAAACTGAAAGAAAAATGATCTTTGTTATAAAACGGCAATGAACTTGTCTGAACTATGTTTAGTGACTACCAGGTAGAACTCATGATGATTAAAACTAGAAAATTAGTTAAGGAGATTTTAAGGCAAAATGTTGAAGTAGTCAGGCTTGGTTCCTCCTGACTACTTACAGTAAAATGGGAAAGAAGAGACAATTGAAGACAAAACTTAATGTTAAGCAAGAAGGAATCAGAACTTAACAATTTGGAAAACAATTGGACTCTCCATATTGCAAAATAAGAGAAAGCTTCCTCTGAAGACAGCACTAAGGAAATAAGGCTGAATAAGCAACTGATAAGGAGACGATGCCTGTGACTCATGAACTTGATCAGCACCTCAGCAAGTCTCAGAGATAAAGATGAGATTATACCTGCAGAGATACAGGCTAAATTACAGGGCACAGAGAAAGTGGGATGGAATGAAGGAAGGGTACAAACTTTTACCTGGCTGTGAGTATGCAGCATCCTTTAAATAAAGAGAAGAAAAACTCTGAGAGTGATTCTCAGACCATCAGCGCTGCCAGAACAGACTGGCTTCTACCAGGGTTTCAAAGGGCAGCATCACGCCTGGCAAGGTGTGTGAGTGGGGTGGAGCCATGAGCACAGAGCCCTGGTGGAGCCACTGAAGAGTGTCTCCCTTCCCCACCCTCAGCCATGGGAGTGAGGCTGCTGCCCAGAGTCCCAGACAACAGGTCATTCATCCAAAAAGGAGTATTATTTTATATTTTCATTTTTAATGGACATGTGATACTTACATTATAATATTTGTATCACATTATTGTAATTCAGTACACATTTCAGTACAGTCTCCACATATTATCATTTCTATGTTTTCGGAACCTTCAAACTCTTCTCCAGTTATTTTTAAATGTGTAAATGAATTGTTATAGGCCACAGTTGTTCTGCTGTGGTAATGAATATCAGAACTACTTCCTCCCAGTTGCATTTTCGCTCCAATTACGTACCCTCTTTCTATCCCCTTCCCCTCTATCTTTGCTAACTTCTAGTGACCACTACTGAACTCTCTACTTCTATGCGATCAACTTTTTATGCTTCCACGAATGAGAACATGTGGTATCTGTCTTTCTGTGCCTGATATATATTACCTAACATAATGGATTTCATCCCTTATGATGGTCAAAGGGGATATTCTTGAGTCTTAAAATGTGATGCACATTTCCTTGTTATGTTTGGGGTTGGATTTAGACTTGGGGCCCCTTTCTCTTCTTTTTTCTCTTTTGGAATGGAATTGTCTGTCTAATGTCTATGCCACCATTGTATTTTAGAAGCACATAACTTGTGTGGTTTTACAGGTTCATAGTTGTAGAATTTTTTTTTTCTCATTATGAAACATACCTTGAGTCTCATCCATACTCAATTTAGATGACATTGAAAGGAGACTTTGGACTTCAGACTTGATAGTTGGTGCTAAAATGAGCTAAGGCTTTTGTGGCTATTGAAATGGAATGAATGCATTTTGCATGTGAGGACATGAAATTCAGGGATCCAAAGGTGACCCAAATTCATATATTGAAGCTCTAATCCACACTGAGATGGTATTTGGAGAGGAGACCTTTGGCAGGTCATGAAGATTAGATTAGGTCACGAGGTGAGAGCCCTCAGGATGAGACTGTGACTTAGTAACCTTATAATAAAAGGCAGAGTCCCCTCCACAGCGTCTCTCTGTATCTCTCTCATCCCAGTGAGGATAGAGTAAGAAGCCCACTGTGTGCATATCATAGAGAGACCACACCAGAACCCGTTGTCTCTAGCACCCTGATCTTCCAGCATCTCCAACTGGAAAAATAACAAAAAATAAAAATCTGCTGTTTAAGCCACCCCACTATAGTATTTTGTTTTGGTCAAGCTGACTAAGACACAACCTTTGGAGGATATCTGAATTCTACAATAATTTGTAAAAATTGTATAAAATATATTTTTTCATAGTTATTTAATTTTTAATATTTTTTTTCTAGAAAAGAGTTTCTTAGATTGAGAAATGTTTTTGTTAAAAGGAAACTTCTCTAATTTTCCACTGAACTCGTAACCCAGGAGCCAAATGACAGACAGGAAGGAATCTGATAAGACAGGGCATGAGGTGTGTTGTGTTAATAATTCACACTACTTTGATATGTGTCTGAATTAGAATTCTGTACTGGGACTGAAAAATGACTTTCTTTAAACAAACACATATATTTACCCAATATATTGAGTAAAGTATACTGATTTCTGCTCTTTGGGAATGTATAATATCTGTATTACTTACTTAATGTTACCTGGGTAATTTAATGTTAACTGACATGGTTAGTCCCATATACAAGACAATGAATTAATCGGTTCAGAGCCCTCAAAGAGTATTATCAGGATCACAAGGCATAGCTGTTTTCAGCTCTCAATACAGTTTGCTTGATTCTTAGAAAACAATACATTCTTTCATTCTAAAAAAGAACTTTCTGGAAGAATAAGCAAAGACAGCATGCAATTGTCCTGTACCCGCCCTCGCAGCAGTTCATATGCCGTCACTCCCAGGGACCACCAGTCAACAGCAAAGGAATAGCCTGTTTCTTTTTTGGAATTGAACATTTCAGGTGCTGAAAAACACAAAAGTTAGGCGAGTTTTACTCCCTGAGATATTAACAACTCTATTTTCCCAATATGTTCCTCCAAAGGAGAATTACCAGCATAAACGGTATAAACACTTGTGAATGTTTATTGTCCCTTGCTAGATTGCTCACAGCAGGCAAAAGTTTCTAATTTTCTTAGCTCTCTCAGTAGCCTCGTTTATCAGCCAACACACAGGCATGCACAAGCTGTAATAGACAAACACTTCTCTTGTTTAGATAATGCACCCATTAAAAATTGGGTCCTACTAGGTATTAAGTATGTACCTAACTCTAAAATAAAGAAGGTTGAGAAGTTGTTATCTTGATTTGGAAGATTTTGCACTAAATGATCTAAATTTATGATTGAAAACAATTCTCAAAATTTGGGACAACATACATTGGACTGGCCCTTCAGCTTGGAATCCCCTGGAAACAATGAGAAGGGCTGCAGCTTCCTTCTGGGGGTGAGGGCAGGAGAAAAGAGAGAATAGACACTCTGGGAAATACAAGGTTTTACTACATCTTTGAGTCATTAACACTTAGAAATACTAGCTCCCTGAATTGGCTTCAATGGAAGGCAGGGTCACAATCAATCTTAGCCCCAGCGATGACTCCTCTATTATGCACTTTGCCTCACAGGGAACTCTCTACAATCCCTTTAATAATGTGAGGGTTAGGGATGAGGATACAGCTCAGTGGCACGGCACCTGCCTGGTAAGTGGACAGTCCTAAGTTCGATCCTCAGTACTGGAAAAAATAAATAATGTGAGGGTTGGAATAGGAGAATGAAACACACAGCAAGGGTAATTATCAAGTCTGCTTGCTTGCCACCATGACATTGCTTGCTCACCATGACATTCCTAATGTCCAGTACAGAGCCTAGCAGTCTGACTCAATGGGCAGCAAGCTGTTAAATGAATGAATAAATAAATCAACTACTCGAGCCATAGTTGTGAACATTAGCTCTGAAGCTTTGCTGAGTTCAAATTCTGCCTCCACCACATATTGTGCCCTGGAACATATCAGTTGGCAGAGCATGGTTAGCAAAATCAGAATAAGGCAATCTTTATAGATTTGTAAATTAAATGAGATAATATTTGTCAAAATGTCAGCATAGAGCCTGGCACTTACCAAGTGCTCAAAAATATTAATTACTCACTTAGACAGGCAGACATCCGTAATAACAGGGAATTTACCTAGTCAAAAGGTACACAGTGTTGATGGCAAGTGCCTTTAGTAAGGTGCTGACTCTGGAAAAGGGAACTGATGTGATGTACGCCCTGCACACTCAGGCTTGCCTATGCAGTTCACTCCAATTCTAAGTAAAATTCTGTGGAAAACATCCAATTAGAGAAAGAATGTTGATTTTCCAATGCCCAGGACTGACCTATAAGAGCTTGATGGAGCAGGACTAAGTAGCCCTCATACCCTGGTGAATTCACTTCTCACGCATCGCCGCTTCCTTTCGGCAAACCACAACTCCTAGGGGGACTGGGCAGATAATGGCCTTGATCCCAGAATGCTCCCACAGACAGGATGGCATGGACCTTATTTCTGCTTTCCCTTTTCAGTATCTCATAAGAAGTCATCTCAGATAGTCCCCCAGATGACAAGTGACAGACATATCTCACTTAGAGAAGCTGCAAAGAGTTCTGAGGGATAACTAGAGCCACTATGATAGGAACATGCCAAACAAAATAAATATTACTCTGGAAAGGCTGTGTAGTCTGTCATTTTGGATCATTCTTGGAGTTTACAAGTATTCTTTGTCATTTTCCCCCTAACTTTGTTGGGTAACTATTCTTTTTTCTGCTGTTCTGTGCTCTATTTTCATCCATGAAGACATCTGGATATGCATTTGTCTGCTCACCAAATATTCATGGTGTGCTATGCACTGAAGAATTTGGTAGGACATTAGGAAGAAAAATCATGACAAAATACAAAAGCTGAACAAATGGATAAAACTTTGAATTCTCAAATAGCAGAAAAACCAGAACAGGAAGATACTGAAGGGCTTTCACTAACCCTTCAAGGATGTCCCTGGTCCTGAGAGGGTATAAATAGACGTGGAGAGGGACTAAGTCTTCTTCATAAAGAGCCACTAAGGGGCTGGGGATATAGCCTAGTAGCAGAGGGCCTGCCTAGCATGTGTGAGCCTTGGGTTTGATCTTCAGGACCACAAACACACACATATGCACACACACACCAAAAAAATTCCACTAAGTATTTTATGTGTTGTTGCTTTTACATTATTTCTATACATAATTCAGAAAGATAAATGTAACTTTAAAAGAATTTAACAAATAGTTATAAGCAAATGTCCAAGTAAATATTACACAGGTCAGAAAGAACACCACCCCGCCCCATCCCCCACCGTGTTCACATTCCTAGAACTCACTGTCCTGAATTACATGTTAATAACTGTCTTGAGAACTGACACAGATTTACTCTTGCTGAATATATTTCTAAATAATGGCTTAATTTTGCATATTCCCCAGGGGCTGTGGATGAACTGGCTTGGGGACTGGCTAGCTGCCCAGTTATTTAATTCACATTTCACTGCTTCATAATAAAGAAGCATTAACAAAGGAAACAAAGCTTATTCTTTGCGTTCTGTTAAGTCCTCTTAAATTAAATCCTATCTCTTGATGTTTTGCTTTACTTCCTCAACAGTACAGTGTTTGAGATTTATCTGAGTTGCTTCAGGTAGTTACAGTTTGTTCACATTTAATGCTATGTGAGTGAATATACTGTAATTTACCTACCTGACCTATTGTTATAGCAGTTTGAGTTATTTCCAGGATTGGAATATTGCAAACAATGCACTCTTGAACATTCTTGTACATGTAAGACTCCTATGTATCTTTAGATGTATTCCTGGTAAGGGCCCTGCTGGCTGTAGGGATGTGCTTCTTCATGTATACTAGATAATGTCAAACTATTTACCAAAGTGGCCATGCCAGTTCACACCCTGACCAGCAATGTCTCAGAGCTCTTTTTGCTCAAAATCCTTATCCACATTTGGTATTAGCTGGCACTTGGGTTTTTAGTCTTTACAGACTGATGACTATTCAACTGTATTCTGTTGTTGCTTAAATTGGCATCCTTCCAATTACTAATAAGCTTGACTATATTTTAATAGGTCTATTAGGCACTGAACTTCCATCATTTGGTTTTTCAGTCTTAAAAATCTTATATATTACACCTTGATTAGGACATAAAGAGCCTAAAAACTACATCTATAAATTTACTAAAATAGAAATAATTCATAGGACTTTATAAAATTAGTTCTAAATTCCATCTGCAAGGAAAAAGGGTGAAAAATAAAAATTTTTGAAAAAGAATAGAGACAAACTTGTATCACATGCATTAACCTACATTATAAAGCTACATCAACTAAGATTTGAAAGCCACAGAATATAGATATTAGCACATAAATTTACTTAGTTTATGATGAATATATTCAAATCAGCCTGACAAAGGTCTTATTTAAGATACAGTCTCAAAATAATTATTCAGTTATCTAACAACAATAAATTCAGATCTGTACCATATATATTCAGCCAAAATCATATATGGCTGGATTGAGTAAAAAAATAATAAAAATATTTGGTAAAATCACCTAAAATCTGGAAGTAAGAAGGTCTCACTAAGAATAGCATCAAAGACAGAAAGCACAAAGTAATGAAAGATGAGCAGCTGTGGGTATATGCTGAGTGGAAGAGCATGTGCTTAGCATGTTCCAGGCCCAGAGTCAACTCCCAGCATCCCCTCAACCCTCAAAAGAATGAGTAGTTTGATGATATCAGACAAACTAATTTATGCCATTAAAAACAGCAAACTAAAAAGTGGGAAATCATATTTAAGTGAGTAACATAATAAATATGATATACCAGGATTTAACTACTCATAAAATATAAAGGCAGGACTTCTTCATGTAATCAGTAAGAAATATCAGGGTAGGTAAATTATTAATACCCAAATAAAAAATGGGCAAAGAATGTGAACAGGCAATTTACAAAATTCAATTTTAATACCACAGTATGGGTCATTTTTATTTATCATTTAAGGGATATTAATGGTACTAATGGTATAGCCGTGATGATGAAGAGAACAGAGTATCTCAGGCACTCCAGAGCAAGTAGAAATCAATATGAACTTTCAGGAGGGAAATGCATTCATATTACACCATTGACCAAAAGTTGTTTCTTAAACTAGTTTTAATTGACAAATAAAAATTATGTATATTTATTGTGTACAGCATGATGTTTTAAAATATGTATATATTGTGGAAAAGCTAAATAAAGGCAATTATCACGCGCTTTACCTCACACACTATTTTTTTTGTGTGTGGTGACACTTAAATTTACTCTCAATGATTTTCAAGAATAGAACACATTATTATTTTTGAGTGAAAATTTATCCCAAAGAAATAATTGTTGCAGGAAATGATACTGCTAATAAGGCTTTTACTACAAAATTGTACATATTTCCAAATGAGAACCAATCTATTGTCCAACAATAAGGGCAGTAAATTTTTGTGCCCCTTCTAATCTATGGGACATGAGCCTTTAACAATGATAGATCTATGTATTGGTGTGGAGAGAAAAGCAGGGTGAGTTGTCAAGCCCCACACTCTGTCGTCAGAGAAGAGGGCTTGAGCTGTAGCACAGATGTGGTTATGAATTGAACCAAGGGCAGCAGAGCAGTGCCATGATTAGGGCTTTGGCTTTAGACCCCTTGTAACTTTGCGCCTAGCTCCACCATGGACAGGTTTCCTACTGCTCAGTCTGCTCATCTTTAAAGCATGAATAACAAATGTTCCAGTCTCACCAAATTACTTTTAGTTTATATAATGTAATTCGTACACTTAGAATAGGGCTCAGCATGTCCAAAGAACTCAGGGAACACCAGCCATTTACTTTTATCATTTTCATCCTCCTCCTTAATGTCCCAAGCTAGATGTTTCTAGACTGGGTTTAATTTCATGCTGCCAATCACTTGTGTGGCTACGATCATATCACTTCCTCTCTGGGCCTGATTTTTTAAATCTATGAAGTAAAAATACAATAAAACCTATTTCACAGAATTATTTTCAAAGTTTAAGGATATAATAAATGTTAAAAACTTAAAGTGCTTGAGACATCATAAACACTCTGATGTATAATAATGCTGTTATTATTACATTATGAAGTGAGAATTTAGGTTAAGGAAATTTAGTATGATCTAAATTTTTGGAACTATCATGCATACATATATGTGTATGTATTTAGAATAAAATTTGGAAGGAAACAATAAAAATCTATTGGTAAAAGAATTAATTTACTTTTCCTTTTGCTTATCAGGATATCATACTTTTTCCATAGTGAACTTATGTACACACACATAGATATTTCTCTCTAAATAGGATAAAGTTTTAATTGTTGAAACTCTGACCTGCATTATAGTCACACAGACTTAAGATCAGGGGAAGTAAAGACTAGAGGTATCAGAGCATGGAGGTAGAAGATTGTGGATTTTAAAACCCAAAACCTCCTTCCTGGGTAGAAGGTAATAAAGCACTGGTAAATGGATTATCTTTTTATTTTCAGTCATAAAACTGTTTAATAACATGCTTAGCACCTCATTATAGTAGATACGGAACATTCCTCAAATCTTCATTCAGTATTTCAGCCTAATTTTCCTTTCTTTTTAGATTTTTATTCTGGTTAACAGCTAATTGGTATTTCACATAAACACTATAAAATAGGTACCAGGGAATGCTTGAAGGTAGATTTTACCAAATTATTGGGAATATACTTTTAAAAAAGAGAAAGCAGGTTTCTTCCACAATTCCTATTAGAAAGACTACTATCCCAAAATCAAAGGCAAGGGCAGTTCTGGCTAAGGAGATAAGGTATCAGTCAGACATTTAATTAGAATAAAACAAGAAATATTTCCAACATCTTGACTTAACTACATTGGCTTAGAACAATTTAAAAGCCACAAATAAAAATGTTTTTAAATATATATGTATATATAATTTATATATATAGAATTTTTCCCTTCATGTTTCTTTCAAGGAGAAACTTGATTTCTGAAGTCAAACAGGGCTTGGATTAAATCTAAGCTTTTTCATACTTATTATTTTTAGCCTTATGATCTTTGGCAAATTAGTTTCTGATTTTCTTCCTTTTAAAATAAGTATAGTCTGCCTCATAGGGTTATAAGAAAAATAAATGAGTAAATAAACATAAAACATTGAACTCATTATTCTACAGAAAGATTTCAATCAACATTAACATTTGTTAATTATAAGGGTGAAGTGAGGAAATGCATAAGACTCTTGTCTAGACTCCAATTTCCTAGATCTATCTTATAAAAAGACTCGAAATGCCAATTTTGAAAAAATTGAATAATACAGATATTGTACTTAAAATCACCAGGGAGAAGAAAGAAAGGTGGCCTGCTTCTATTCACCATGGAAACCGGCACTAGAAACCCCCACAGGCACATTGTCTGATTTGGCTCCAAGAAAATAGCCCTTAATATAGACACCCAGGAAACCTGGGGACTAAACTCAACAGACCAGCAGGCTTGGATATTCAGTTTTATCATCTGAGTGCCATGGGGTTTAGGCAGAAAATAGGCTGAATCATATGTGTCCCTTATTTTAGAAGTAACAAAAGAGATTTACTCCCCCCATTGATAATTGAATACTAAGAAATTTGCAATTGTTCAAATATCACATAAAATAAGGCTGTTTTTCTCCATAGATTTCTTTCTGTTGGGAGGTGAGGTGGCCCTGTATATAGGGGTTATCCCAATTCTATGGGGGATGGAAGAGAATTAAATATTAAAAGAAAGTGGCATTGCTCTTGCTCTTGATTTTCAAGTTGATATTTAGCCTATGAATTACTCTGACCAGACCTAGCTGACACAATTCATTCTACCTCCAATTTAGTCCCACCAGATTATTCAGCAACAACACCTACTTTAATATCTTACTAATTAGGATGAACCATGAATAGTTTTTTCTTCTATTATCTACCAGTAACTCTGCAGTATCATTAGGGGATGGGGAATCCTCTAATGACAGCTCAGCCTATGGCCTAATACATTTTAATTCCTTTCCCTTATCACAGCTCTTACTCTAGATACTTTCAAATTCAGTCCTATGAACTTTACAACTAACCTCCTAACTGAGTCACCACTCTCCTCCCTACCCATGGACTAGATCCTGCCACCTCGGAGTGGAGATGGAGGAGGACTCATCTGGTTCTCATGAGACTCTTTCTCTAGTTTTTTAGAAGGCCTTGTTTATTTCAGGGCAGAGAAGAGGAACAGTAGAGGTAGGGAGATCCTAACACAAACATGATGCCCCAGCCACAGGGTTGGCAGAGGCTGTCAGCAAAATGACATGAAGAGCTTTTAAACCAATGGCTGCCTTGGGCTCCACCCTCAGAGGGTCTGATATAGTTGGGCTGTTCTGAGAGACTGCTGGTGTGCCCAGAAAGCCGGGCTGACAGCACCCTTCCCTCCCTGGTGGCAGCCTGCACTGGAGGGGCCCTTGTGAAACTGGGCCACATCCTATAGCTAATCCCCCCCACACACTCAGACTTGATGCATACTTCTGTCTCCTACTCCTGTGATTCTCATTAAGACTTTCCCCAAACTTATCAACTCTCTGTGGCCCTCTAGAGTCTGCTAGCTCAGGGACCAGTCAGCAAGTCCGATAATTAAACAGATACCTAACCAAGCATGCAGTGTGAGGCCCCTCTCTTTGTAGACATGTCATAATGTATACATAATTACTTGAGATTTGACTTACTTGCTTTTCACAATGGTGAGCAAAGAAAGAACTCCCTCTTTCTGAGTACTGTATGCCCCCTAAAAGGTGACAATCCTCTGTGTATATTTTGGGGGTATACAAGAAGTAGCACAAGTTATGTCTTTATAGAGATCATACCCTCTGACAACTAAGTTAGAATTTATAGTTGATTTGTTGCTACAATTAAGCATGAGGCTTGCTGGCAATTTTTCACCTAATCCTACACTGTTAGTCACCCAATAGTAAATTCTGAAACATCAAGGCACAGCCTAGTACCTTGTTTCACTGTAGGCAAGATTATGCAGTCATTTAACCTTTTTGAGGCAAAAATTTCCTCATCTTTCTAAAGAAAAATGCGATTGTTGTGGCATAAAATTGAAGCTAAAATTATAAATAGGAAGGTACATTGTACAATTTACAGCCCTATGGAAGTAATGTAGTGTTATGTCAATTATGGATAAAATAATTCTTTGGTCACTTACTACCATTCTATGTATTACTGTTTCTTCCTTTTTATTTTGATTCTATTTGTTATTTCTTCCCCATTAATAAGCTCTGTGAGGTGAAGACCTTGCATGTGTTGCCCACTACTAGATCACCAGCATCTGAAACCTTGCCAAGCACACAGATAATTAGTAGACATTTATTAGATTAATTAATAATTTTTGTTGAGAAGTACGGATTGTCTTAATTAGCTCATGAAATAATATTTTCAAAATGTTTCAAAAGACCCTCATGAATCAAGATCACTCTGTGTACTTGCTATTGGAAAATTCTCAGGCTCACCTCACACCTATTCAATCAGAAGCTCCCAGGGAAAGTCAGAGGGGACTTCTTCGTTCTCTCCAGCTGCAAGTCCCTACAGATTTAACCTGCAGTAAATGGCATCCATGGGAATGAAACACAAAAGCTTTGCACTTAGTTAACAGTGGCCCCTCAGGAAGTCCATACCCATGTAAGGCTTGGTGCCAGCCACAGTAGTGATCTGCATCTCCTTGGGCAGCATGGCTGCGATGTTGAAATCTGTGATGTGTACGTGCCCTGGGGAGAAAGAAGGGCCACAGAGAATGTTAAGTCCCGTTTAACTGAGTTGTACAATCATGTGTTTAATTTTAGGCTGAAAGCATCTGGAAACTTGGTCTATAAGTCCTTGTATGTTAGTTGCAATGGGGTACAGGCAATAAAAACTCACTTTGTCCATCCTCAAGGCCTTAAATCAGCAGCCAGAACATGATACTCAGTGATAGTCTCTGACTGTAAACTTGTAGCTCAGCCTCTGGAAGTTTTAACCTCAGTAGTTGAGTTAATGGTCTGACAGCTCTACTTAGGCAATTCTGTCTGTTAGCAACATTTTAAGTTGTTGAACCTGTGAACATCATAGGGGAGTAGCTAAGAGCTACACAATTCCAAGCATCTCCCAGATCTTAAAAAAATGGTAAAATATTGTAAAAAACAGAAAATACTATAAGCAGACAAAAGTGTATATATATATATATATATATATTTTTTTTTTTTTTTTAATCAAGAAAGAGTTTTTCCTCTGGTTTTTATGAAATGCTATTAGTTTTGGGGTTGGATAGTTCAGGTTGTCTTCATCAATTACCAACAAAATAACGGACACCTAGGAAAAGCAGAGGGGGAGCATCAGCTTTTGTTTTTAAAGGGGATCAAGGGCACTGGTCTAGGGGCAGAGACCTAGGCTCTGCCCTGAACTCTGACCCTGACACAGAGTAGACTTCCAATCATTTTCTTAGGTTAAACATCAATTCTCCTTTACAAGAAAGAGAATGGGTAGAAGAGATGATCACTAAGGTCTCCCTGGGCTGGAACACTCACAGCAGTGTGGTGTGGGCCTAAGCATGAAGTGCAGCAGGGAACCCAGCCCACAAAGTGCCCCAGGTCCTTGCACTTATAATGGAAAAGAGAAAAGGGCAGCACAAGGAGCCCAGGAAGTAGGGCCTGGCACAATAGTCACCTGCTTTCAGAGGACCTTGAAGTTGGTGTTTCCTTTGCATGTGTCTGTGGTTTTACAGAGACAGCTGCAATTGGAGGGAAAGTACCTGGTTCTTCCCTAGGGCCACTGTCCACTCTCCCCATACCGAACATCACCTTAAACTCCCTGACACCAGGCAGCCCACTGCTAGGGATAAATCTCACTGCCTTCACTTCCAGGGTTCTATTTGTGCAGAAACTCTTTTATATTTGTTCATGTGATAATATTTTCACAAAGTAAAAGTGGCACTCATCTAACTAAAAGTTAAGGTATTCTCACCCACAGGGCACCAACAGATGATTTTTAATAACTTCCCTATCATACTGCAGGTTGTCTCAGGGTTTTTTCCCCTCTCTGTGTTTCATGCTCAAGGTGTTGGACCAGTAATCCAAAAGGTTTGAACAAATTAGCTGGACCTGGAAATTCTGTGATTACAAGCTGTCCTCTGGACACAGACTACTGTACATGGATTCCAGCCCAGGTTCTACCACTAACTAGCTATGATACCTTAAAAAAAGTCACTTACAATCTCTGATAATAACAGTCTTTTCATAATGTAAGGTTACTGGGAAGATTAAATGAAATAATGACAATAAGGGACTTGACACAGGATTTGGCAATAAGTGTTCAATTGTTGATATTTATCATATAAATATCTTGCTAGCCTGAATAGTTTCTAACCTCAGTCCTAAGATTATCTATGATCATGTAGAAATAGAAGGTAAGGGATGTTTTAAAATTACCTGGTTTCTAAAGTGCATTCTCCAGACCAGGAGCATCAGTGCCACCTGAGAACTTGTTAGAAATGCATATTCTTGGACCTCCTCCAGACTTTCTGAATCAGAGCTCCGGGGTTCGGTCTTAGTGTTTAAACCAGCCCTCGAGGTGATTCTGATACTCAACAAAGTTTGAGATCACAGCTTTGAAAGAAGGCTTAGGTTCATACCAGGTTCTGACCCTAGTTAAGTATTCATTTCTGTTGAATTTGGTTGAAAGAATATTGAATATTTACCATTCAAGTATTCTTTACATTTGTATGATTAACTCAGTTTTTAAAAAGTTGTCACACAAAGCTTCTCTTTTAACCCAATAAAGTGGTCCCTAGTTTACATATGAGTGGTTTGTGGTTAAGTTGACAGGGCTCAGAAGTAGCAGAGTTGGAGTTAAGATATAAAATTTGGTATAGGATCCCTTGGATGGTTGTTATATGACAAGATCAAAGAAGCGAAAAATTTGAAGAAACTACTTTCTGATTGGCTCAGAGTTGTTTTGTTTTTTTGTTTTTGTTTTTGTTTACCTGCCAGGATGCCTATTAAAGAATGGGGAGAAATTACTTGAGGTTCATGATCTACTGGAAGCTCTAGATTGTTGCTCTTTAATTTAATCAATGAAGTTGAACTTCACAGGATCATGGACAGCGGCCCTAAGCCTTAGTTCCTCCAGACGCTGCCATACTTTGCTCAGCCTGGTAACAACTGCTGGCTTCCTTTCTGTGCTGTGAAAGTGAGTTTCAGTGCTGGATCACAGAGGAGGGTTTAGTCTCCTGCTGATTGAAAGAGACAGGAATTCCCTATGGAGAATGGGAATGGCTACTTCCATAAACCCAGCCGCTGAGTGACCCCGGGAACAGTTTCTCAACCTCAGTACCATTGAGGGCTGCCTGAGGCATTACAGGATGTTTAGTAGCATCCCTGGGTTTTACCCACTGGGTTCCAACAGCGCCTCCCACCATGACTTTCTAATTAGAAACATCTCCAGACAATGCCAAATTTCCCCAGCAGGGAGAAGCACTGGAGCAAAATCACCCACAGTGGCAAACCAATTTCTTAGTGTGAAGTTTTTCAGGTACCAGACTAAGAACTTCCTGATCTAATACTCTGGGGAAGTTTTTGATTTTCCCCTTTTACCTCTGTGGCTTGAGACTGAGGATCACATTAAAAATCTGAATTCATCTACTGAGTCACTGAATTCAGTCATCATGGTTTTCATTCTCTGTACTTTTCCTCACTGTGTCTGTACTAGGTCTGAGGATCTTTCTCATCAACATAGTACTCTGGGGTACAAAAACGAATCAGTTGGTGCTGTCCTCAACTTTTAAAACTCCCCCCCTATTTGCAAGTGTTCAGAGTATGTACACTACAATTTTTCTGTGGTGTTTATTAAAAAAGCATATCCTTAGGCACTACTTGAGACTAATAAATCTGATTATCTAGGAGAAAAGCGCAATATTCTGTATTATATATACACACTTTTAAAAAAAACACTATCTACTCGAGTTTTAGAAACATTTTGGGACTCTGCAAGGGGGAAGCTGTTAAAATGGCAAGCTCAGTTCTTCCTTACCCCCTAGACTGTTTTTTTCTTTTTGCCTCTTCTTATGACAAGAGATGATATTAAGAAACCTAAATTATAGATGATTCCATAATTGTCATGATATGTCAGGCAGATATTATTGTTCATCTAGATGCAGTGTTTATTTCATGAATAATTTAAGAAAAAACCGAGAATTTTAGACACTACAGAATTGATAGAATTGGATGGAGCACTTAAATTTGTAGAATATGAGGATATTATCAGGACCATTGGTTATGAGTCATCCAACATCTGATGCCATCCTGGCTCTGAACGAGTAAATGAGACACTTGGGGAAACCAGTATCAGGTATGCTCTGAATTAAAAACATTTCTTATGACAAATTCTGATGTACACGGAATGTTCATTCACATTATGGAAAGATTTTCTATATAACAATCATCCCCATTAAATGTCCATATTTTCTGGTGATCATGAATAATATGATTCAATAAGAATAAAACCAAGTTTCTGCCTCTTAGTAAGTGGTGCTGGATTACAGTATAAGCTGCATGTTCCAACACAATGCTCACTCAGAAGGATGGGCAAGGGCAGCACATCAAAATACAGGAATATTCTGATGGAAGGGGCTGGGTGATGGCCCAGCAGGGGAAATGTTACTGAAAAGATGAGGAAGGACTTCGAATATGAGCTCCACACAGAAGATGACACCAGCAGATGTTCCAAAAGGCAGGCATAGATTTGTGGGTCAGTGATTCACACACAAGCAACTACATGATGACCCAGGAGGAGATGGGTTGGGAAGTTTTTCACTTAACCAAGATTAATTATGGTCCCTGAGCAATGTCAGAAGTCCTAGTTTTAAAAAAATCAAAATAAATAAAATTAATCTCAAAAAATGACTTTTTTCGAGAATGGAATCCCTAGGACAATATGTAAAGAATGGCTCTCAACATTTTTGTTTGCTTGTTTCGGTCCTATTCATAAACAATCCTCCCAAGGCATTTTTTTTCTTTCATAAACAGAAATTATTGTCAAATTGAGTTCAGGAAGGGAATATAAAACAAAAAGCCTCCTCTGAATTCATTGTTCAAGCCAAGCACTTGAGAGTGAAAGGGGTCACTGTAAATAATACACTAGATAACAGAGGTAGACTAGCATTGCCTCTGAAACAGGCTGGGATGACAGCTCACACTGCCTAAACAACTGAGCCCCAGCTCCAGCAAGAATAAAAATGCCATCAACATGACTTTAGCCCCTCCTCCCTTCCCCCTTTAGCTTGATATGGTCTATATGCCGCTACTCAGGGGCTGTGCCCATGATGGAGCAACAGGTGTCAGGCCCAGATGAACCTGGCGAGGGGCCGGCGAGGGCTAAACCCCACCTAGTTCTTCTTGACCAGCTGATTAGTGTCAGAAAGTTCTGCCCAAGGCACACAGAGAATTTTTCTTCTTGGTTGCAAAATAAGCACTTTTTCTTCTTAGTTGGCTTCTGTTGGCCACTTCTCTACAATTTTAAAGCTTCACAGAATTTATTTAAACCAGAGCAGGAGAGGATCCTCCCTTCTACCTAAGGCAAGAATAGCTGCTGTTTTCGTGAAAGTCACCTTCATGCTAAATCTCACCATTGCTCACATTCCTGAGATTCAGAAATCTGTTCACAAATGTCAGAAGCAGTAAAGGTAAGAGAGAAATAAGACATTGGAAGAAAGTGGAAAAAATCTTCTAGACAGCCCATAAATAAATAATGACCCTGAGCTTTGAGATAAGAGGTCACAGACAAAACTGTTTCTTAGCCTTCAGCACAGGCGAGGTCTGACAGACCAGGTTTAAAACCCAACTAGGTAAATAAATAATGAGGCATGGATGGACCTGGGAGTTTCAGTCCCACTTGCAAATCCTCATTGTAAAAACTGAATGAGTAAGGAGATTTGCAGATTTAGAATTCCCATCTAGCAGCTTTCTGAATACAGGACAAGGATCTTGGTGACACTGTAACTTTTATAACACTCAGGCTGTAGCCTCTGTAGGACTTCTCTGATGTAATACTCATGAACCCAAATGCACATGAAAGTAAATATTAGGAGGAACTATGTGTAATTAATCATTTGTGAAAAACTCTCTTCCAGAGGATATCTAATCTGTTTCTTAAACTGAAGGCATTCACTTACCACTTTTATGATTACTGCTAGTATCTGTGTATCAATTTTATATCTAGGGACCACATAGACTACTTTCATCTACTTTATATCTTTCTTTAAACTCAATGATTTTCACTAAAAATTTTAACAGAAAACTTGATATCCTTTCTGTAAATATAAAAGCAATTTGGCTTCATAAGAAGAAAAGCATAAAAGTAGATGCAATAACAAAATAATATTACTAATTTGGTGGATAGTATTATCCATCTAATGCTCTAATATTGAAGCCTGCTCTGTCTTTATGGAAAAAAAAGAGGTGGTTATATAATATAAGATATTAAGGGATACTAATGCCAGAACCACTCTCTTTTCTTAAAGAGAAGTGCTAGTGGAAGAAAATTAGGTAGAGGATTTCTCACTGCGTAAATTCAATGCTATTTAAGAGTGTATTTTTGTACTATGCAACTGCTATAAGTAGCAAAGTTTCCCTATATAGTCCCTTCTACCCATAAGAAGGAGTTTATACATGCAACTCAACTAATCAACCTTTTTCATGTCTAATACTCCTTTGATGGAGATAGTTTGTTCTACATTCACGTCATGTGGTTAAATGCAAACAAATCATTTACTTACCATGTTCATCAAGTAAAATATTGTCAGGCTTCATATCCCTGGGGGAATAAAAAAAGACAGACTAAGTTGTCCATATTCGAACAAACAAGCAGAGCTAAAGGATAAAGGCTAAAATGCTCAAGAGTGCTTATGAGTGTCTACACAATGTACTGGCGCTTCTCTCACAATCTCAGTTCTCTCAGTGAGTCTTTGAGACAGTTACCATTCATATCCCCAACTTGTGGATCAGAAAACTGAGACTTTACCCAAGGTCACAGAGTTAGTAAATGGAAGATATGGGCTCTGCACCTGGATCTCTCTGTTCAAAAATGGAGATTCTTATTTGCTGTAATATTTTATATCTAAGTATGTAAATACTGGTCCATAAGATTATATGGGGCATCTAAATTGCCATAAAGTAGCATTATAATATTAGTTAGCATTTTCCCATGTAACCTCAAAGTTACATAGATCCTATAAATTTTCAAGACTCTATAAAGTGGGGAAATATGGTCTATACTGTATTTATATTTAAAACTTGCATAAATTTGGCATTCTTTTAGGATGATAGTTTAATGCCTCTAGCTGCTTCATAATTATTCCTGCAGCAAAACACCATGTTTTGGTGTACAGCACAATGACCATAGTTAATAATATTATATACTGGAAATTTTTTAAGCAGGTAGATTTCAGGTGATTTCACCACAAAGGAAAAACAAGGCAACCATGTGTCTAGATAGATATGTTAATTTTTTTGATAGCAGCGTTCATTTCATCATGTACATATCTATCAAAACATCTTATTACATATCCTAAATAATAGCATTTTTAAAAAAATGAAAAAATAATAAAATAAAAGTAAAAATTCCGATATTCCAGCCCTTTGGAGGCTGAGGCAGAGGATCGGAAATTAAGGGTAATGTCTGAGTAACTTAGTGAGACGCTGTATGAAAATAAAAAAAGTAAACAGGGTATATGTATAGAAGTCAGTGCAAAGGCCTAGGGTTCAATCTCCAATATATAAACAAACAAACAAACAAACAAGCAATCCACAGAGGAACAGCAAAACCACTGTCTTCCGATGAACAGAGTAGTTTCTAAATACCAAGAGTAATGGGTGACAGTTTTCAAAGTCCTCATGAAATGAGTAGTATTGTAAGCAGTACTCCTCATCAGAGAGCACCACTGTGGTTTTTACCAGCCCTCACCTCCCTACTCTCAGGTTTTCACTGCCCTTCCCTAATGCACCATTAAAGCCCTTCAGCCTGGATTCATAGAAGCCATTAGGGAAGAAATTCTGAAACAGGTTTTGGGAACACATCTTCAGCCTGGTCAAGTGGCTTTTATGTTGCCAGAATAAAAAAGTAACCTTAACCTGAAGCAGACAAGGCTGTCAGTATCCTCTTGTTTGGTAATATTAGGTTACAACTGCTTGGCTACAAACAGAACTAGGTGCATGCTGCATCCAACATCCACATGACATGGATTACTGTGTAGATTTTGAAAATCTTTTCATTAAGTTTGTTAGGTATTTGAAAGTTATTTCTAGATCCATAGACTACTCATCTATATCTGCGGCAAATTTTTCTCTTGTGCCTGATATAATTTGCTAAAAAGATAGAATAGGGGGACTTTTAATTGAAAGTTTCTGTGGCAAAGCACTATCATAGTATTGTAGATTCCACCCCAAACCCTTACACAAGTCCATTACCTCAGGAATTGTCAAGTCCAAAGTCACGTAGGAGGCAGAAAAGCCCTATCATCATGTCGCTCTGTGCTCCAGCACACAGACGCGCATGAGATCCTCCAAATGCTCCTGCATCCCCTCACTCCTCACCTCCATAGCTGCTGTTTCCTGTTCCTAGGTCATCCTCCTCACTACTGCAATCAGACTGTGCAGATTCATCCTGGACCTCAGTTCAGATGCTACTTCCTGCAGGGAGATGTCAGTGACTTTCCAATGCGTGGTCAAATGACCCTGCTATGTGTTTTCACTACATGGTGTATCTCTCCCTTCATGACAAGTATCACATACATGTTCATTTTTCCTTATCACACTTATGTTCTCAAATTCCTTAATGTCAGGGATGGTATGTTGGTTAATATTACATTCCATCACTGAGATTCACAGCACTTGGTGGTCACTAAATGACACCCAGAGTAATTCTAGTGCACTCAAAAAGGTAGATCCTAACAGTGTAGGCCAGAATGCTATCGCACAATCAAACCTCTCTGTAGCTTCAAGCTAGAGATTAACCAGGTATTGGGCTCTTTCCACCTCTTTCAGTTTTGCATCCAGTGAGAATCAAAGGAAAAAGTCGAGTGTGGAACAATCGATATCAAGATTTCTTGGTTTAAATTTATGAGGATGTGCTGGGAGAAATGAATTGCTGTCGATTTGATGTTTTGTGAGTTTAAGTCCTCGAACATTATTTTTCTTACTTTTTGAATGTACACAGCATTGTGTCTAAGCTTTCCGAAACTACTTTGAAACTTAATAATACAGGAATCAGGGAGGTAACAGTTTATTGTGCTACTTCTTATTTCAAAACTTTTGTTCACTTATTCGTCAAATGTTTATTTACCTTGGTAAGTTACTGTACTTAGATAACATAAAGATGAACGAGGCACAGTCCCTTGGGGTTGGAGAAGATGAGAAAGCCTCATAAGGAACCGTGCCTTAAAGGCATAAAGTGGTAAGGGAACACATGCCATTCATTATAAATTCAGAGAAAAAAATATGAGGAAAATCCAATAACAATGTAAAACAATAAGTGGATTTTGAAACATATAAGGCAAATGACATAAGCTTAGATTTACAACTACACAGTTTCTCCAGAACATAATGAGGTAACTACAGAGAAGATTACAGTCACTACAGGGAAAACTGAAGTATGGTAAAATTGTTTATTTGTGTATGAGAAGAAGGAAAATGAAAAAAAAATCCAGTGTGCTACATTAAAATTACTGCTAGAACAAGTTGAGATTTTCTAGTTTGAAATTTTAACTCCATTTCCTTTCTCTAGTATCAATTCAGTTTTTCCAAGTAAACTTAATTATGAAATAACTTGTCCTAACCTGATTTTTTTTAATTTAAGGCTGCTATGTGGTTTAATTTAGTAGTCAGAAAGCGTCAATACACTTTGGAATTATCTGGTAAGCTTTAAACAATAAGGTTTCTCTGGCTTAGCCCATCCTCAACATTAAACTCTCTGTGGACAGAATCAGGCATCTGTCCAAAACCAAACACTTCTCTAAGGCATTCTGCTGTGCAGTCATGTTAAAAAAACCAGGCATTGTCCAAATCTAAAAACGCCAATCTGATTTAAAAAAAAAAAAGCTCTTAACAGCTTATCTATGGATGAAGAGGAGTAGCGAAAGTGAAATGCTTACTGTCGTTCACTGACAGATTATTTTGTTAAATCATATACAAAAGTCTTTTACAGACACATAGCAGGTGCGATTAAAATATATGGTGAATGTTTACATTTTACAAAGATTATTGCAATAAAACACACATTGCCATGAATCCCCCTCAAAGCACACCCCTTACACGTGTCCCATTGTTCTTGTCGCTTTCTGAAGGGGCTCTAGAAGCCTTCTTCTGTTAGTGACTGTAGTTGTGCTGTCATGGCTGCCTCAGTGTCCTAATCTGCTAAAAACAATTGCCTTTTTAGGTCATTTTGACACTGGGGAAGAGCCAGAAATCACATGGTACCAGATCTGGTGAAAAAAGTGGATGAGGACCCAACATAATGGTTTTACAAGCCTATCTTTCTGTTGGCTGGCACTAAGCAGTATCACTCCCTATGTTTTTTTACCACCATTATGCAAAGGCACAAAAGAGGATAAATGAGGGTAAGTATTTTGAGGGGAGTTAACAGCAATGTGTCTTTCCTGTAATAAGAATTTTATAATTTAAACATTCATCATATGTTTTGAACACATCTTGTAACATTTTCAAGTAGCTAGTGATGAGCTCCCTCTCCTCACTTGCTTTTTTAAAAATCACTCTACATAAATTCAAATCCACAGGGATGGGTCCTCAGTTCTTTTGCTTACTTCCAACAATTCCTACATCTATCCCACCCCAACCGTTTCCCCCTTCTCAATTCTTAATCACCCCCTAGTCATTAGGAGAGCCTACCCTCTGACCAGTGTGACCTTCTACCCAACACAGTCTCCAAAGTGGCTAATCTGCCACACTGAGACCACTAGTTACTGAAACTGTAGCCTCTGACTTGTAAACCAAAGACTCAGGTTCTTGATCCTTTCCACTGTCGGTTGTTAACATTCCTTATAAAAACTTTTCTCTCATCCCCATCATTACATTCACTTGATCAAGTCCCTCTGTAAATTAAAACTCAACTCCCCAGATTTTTCTTGCCTGAGGCCAAGCACTTGAACTTTGCTAGAAGAAGAGACATGTTGACCATTCTCATTCACATGAGCATTCATGTGCCAGGCCGTGCTGTGATACTACTTTCTCCAAGGTAACCACTTCACTTCTTGCCTTGCTCCTCTCACTTCTGATATTCTCCTTCTTCCACTTTCTCTCCACCGATGACTGTATCTTCTCACTTCACAGAAAGAACTATGGTTTGTCCACTCACTTATCACCAAGTCTGCCAACCTATCCCTGCCTTCCCTCTTTAGTGTAGAGTCCCTGCACCTACCCCAGGTCAGCTTTTCTCCTGCGGCTCAGGATGTCACAGATTTCCTTCAAGAAGTATCCTTGACTCCTCCTACACCAGCTTCTTCTCCTCCTCTTGCACGAAAATACGTTATGTTTGGTTTCCCCCCAAGCCACTTTCACCTATGCCCCCTTACTGCTTTCCTTTACAATAAAATTTCTGGATTGAGTTGTTGACATGGGAGGAATTAGAAACAGCAACTCCTATTTTTTCTCAGCCCTTTCTATCTAGGCTTCCAGCCCCTTCACTCCTGAAGTGACTCTTGTCAAATATATGATTACATCCAGCACTTCAAGTCTAATTGTCACACTGTTATTTATCATGTCTGACTTCTCAGAAGGTAGATCATTCCTTCCCTCCTGGCA